GTTTTTAATTGGAAAATGCTCCTTATTGTCCCTGCGGCTTGGGCCAGCAATTTTATCCACACCTATCAGTTCAATAATGTCAACGGTCTTGTTTTCAATGTGAGGACTAGAGGCTTAAACAATGTTTTTTATTGGGGCGGAGAGATGTTGGGCTCTATTGGGATTGGTTGCATCTTGTATTTTAGTGTCCAGAGTAGGAAGATGAGGGGTTTTGTTGGGATTGGTGTAGTCGCTTTGATTGGCAGCGCAATTTGGGGTGGTGGTCTCGCCAATCAACTTCCTTATTCCCATGATCAACCACCTAAGAAGTTGGATTTCAAGGACTCTGCTTTTGCTGGCCCCTTTGTTTTGTACTTCAGCTATGGATTGCTGGATGCCATGTTTCAAACCCTGGTTTATTGGATCATAGGAGCCTTGGCTGATGATGCACAGACCCTTAGCAGGTAATGCCTTCTTGTTTTTGTATGCCTTCTTTTTTTGAGCAATATTAATCTGTCTGCAATAGAATTTCAGATATATTGGATTTCATAAGGGAGTGCAAAGCGCAGGAGCAGCGGTTGCTTGGCAAGTTGATAAGCACAAGGTTCCATTGCTTTCCCAGTTGATTGTCAATTGGTCGCAAACCACTCTAAGTTATCCATTGCTGGTGCTTCTAGTCATGCTAGCTGTAAAGGATGACAACAAGACCGAAGAAGAAACTGTCAAGAAGGCTATTGTTCCATCTTTCAATCAAGATATCACCACTGCTAAGTCCACTTAGCTGATATTTATTTTACTCCTTCCATCTCGTATATAATGTCGTAGTTTGGACAAATTTAACAGCACTCTTGATTCGCATATGTAATAAAAGAGAATGGAATAATTACTCTGTAGGAATAGAACAAAGAGATAATAACTATTTCATATATAGTAAAATTTGAATAGAATAATAATAGTTCGTAGATATTTTATTTTAAGGTTAATGGTGTGATTTAATTTTTGAATTATATCATTTTTACGATTTAATAGTTATTAAAAAAAAAAGTTCAGGATTAGACATCCGAATTTTATTCTTGAACTTTTTTTTTATTAAACATTTTGCTCTTGTACTAATTCAATTAGTAGTAAGTTGTTACGGCTAAGAAAATTCAATAAGATATGACATATGGAACTGTTTTATAGATCAATATTTATCACATTAACATTTTGATTAACAATAAAAAATACTTAACGAAAATAAAAATTAAGTATAATTTAATCATAAAATTTTTTTGGGGTGTCAAAAGTATAATTCAAAGGTCAAATTATATAATTAATCTTTTATTTTATTTGTTTAAATGTTTTAATAATTAGGTAATAATATTTTACATCGATAGAGGTCGATTTCTTCTCGTACTTCTAGTTCACAATAAAAAAAGTCAATAACTTTTACCAATTTAAATCGTGGAAGAATTCTAAAAAAAAAACCATTTCGATAAGCCTTTTCCTTCACCTCTTAAACCCATTTCTAGATCCTTTTGCCCAAGTGTAGGTTTGAATTTAATAACTTGGGTTTGTGATAATTTGTAAAATACATATGCTTGTGAGAGGGAGGATAAGTCACAAAAAGCTTTTGCATTTTTATTTCTAATATTCGAAAGTGAGTTTTTTATATTTTTTATAGTTGAAATAAAATGAATTGTATTTTTATTTGGTTTATTAATTCTTTCTTGATTTGCTTCATTATTGTAAATGAATTTTTCAATCAATTTTTTTGTTGATTCAAGAAAAAGTTGTGGATTATGTCTTGGAATATTAATGATATATTTATGATATATAGAAAAATATCTATTTATATCTTTTGAATAAAAAGTTTTATAAATAAATAGAATTTACGGATTAATCGAATATTTTTTTTTAATATTTTCCAAAATTTTTTGATGATTCTAATTTCTTGACTTTTATAATTTTTTTTATTTGATTTTTTATTGTGTTGTTCTTTCAGTCAAATCTTTTATCTTTTTTTTTGTTAATGAATAATTTGTCCGCTCCATAGATTGAAATTGAAGGAATGATTCGTCAAACATATTGATCTCAACAAATTACTATCATGCTATTCATGTATTATTCATGTAGACACCCAATTGGGTTTAGGCTCAGATCAATTGGGCCTGACCCAAATGGATAAGCCCAATTTAATTTTTATCTTGTATTATTTTTATTTTTTTGTATTTTATGTATTTTATTATTTATTTATTATTATTATGTATTAATATGTGTATATCTTTATTTATCTATTTATTTATTTATTTTATTTTTATTTTCATTTTTTTGTTAATATTTATAGGTATTTTATTATAGTTATATATTTATTATTATTATATTATTATTATTTTGTAATATTTTGGATTTATCTTATTTTAATTAATTATCTGTTAATTTTATTTTTATTCATTTATCTGATTTTTTTTTTTCGATTATCTGATTATTATGATTTTTTTTTAGGGCTGTGATTGAAAGTTGAAGAATCCCATTGTGAATGAAAATTCAATCTGAAGAGTCCAGATTGGATTCAAAGATTGAATCCCCGTCCAAACAGGAATTGGGATTGATCAGAAACTCTTGATCAATCCCTATAAAAGGGACCTCCTGGAATAGATGCAAGAGACAGAAAACAGTAAGCAAAAGCTATTGATTAAGAGAATAGGGACGTATAGAGAGCTAAGAAAAAGGTTTAGAAGTGTTCTAGTAGTTAGTAGAAATTTTTTGAAGTTTTTTTTGACAATTTTTTTCTGGGAATTTCTGGAAATTTTAGATTTCGGTGAATTTTTCAGCGAAGTTTGAATTTTTCGACGAAAATTTCGGTCAACCTTGAAGTTTCCGACGACCTGCCCAATTTTCGACGAAGAATCCCAGAAATCGGTGATCATCCGACCAACTTCCGGTAAAAAAACCCAGATTCCGGTGACAAAACCCAGAATCCGGTGAATCTTCAATCGGAGTTCTTCGACCTTTTAGAGAGAACGGAGAGGAAAAAGAAAGAAGAGAGAGAGAGGGGAGGAGCGTTCTATCGAAAAACAGAGGGGAAGTGCCTTTTATACCCTCTCAAAACGACGTTGTTTTGGCCTTAAGTAACTCAGAGGATCCGCGCGTTTTGTCGAGATCCGACCCGACCCGAGCGTTGACCCGCTTATTGACCCGCGCGTGTCTGCTCCCTCTAAGCCGAGCCGAGTTGAGCTCCAAAGCCGCTTCTCCGAGCCGTTTTCTCTTCTTTGAGCCTAGCCGAACCGCGATCCGAGCCGCCTCAGGTTTTTTTTTTCATTTATTTGTTTATTTGTTTTTTTTATTTATTAAATTAGGTTTATTTAATATTCTTTTTATCTTTATTTTATTTTTATTTTTGTTTTACTTTTCTTTATTCTTTATTTTTATTTATTTTTTATTATTCTATTTTCTTTAAATAAAAATCAAAATTTATAAAAAAGATATTTTTAGGAAAAAGTTGAAAGTGTCAATTTTTCTTAAAAATAAATTTCAAAAAGGGTTTTTGAGGAAAAGTTGAAAGTATTAATTTTCTTTGAAAATCAAAATTTCTCAAAAATATTTTTAGGAAAAAATTGAAAGTATCAATTTTCCTTAAAAATAAATTTTCAAAAAAAGGGTTTTTGAGGAAAAGTTGAAAGTATCAATTTTCCTTGAAAATCAAAATTTCAAAAAAAATATTTTTGAGGAAAAGTTGAAAGTATCAATTTTCCTTAAAAATAAATTTTCAAAAAATATTTTTGGAAAAAAGTTGAAAGTATCAATTTTCCCTACACGAGAACAATCATTCTTTCCTTCTTTTCTATTTTGATTTTTCTTTAATTAATCCGACGACGGAGCCTCTGCAAGTGAAACAATAATTTTTCTTGCATACTCTTGAGGTGAGAAAATTTTCTCAATTTTTTGCTAAAAGTATTAGAGTCAATTGAGGATAATTTCTAACAATTAATTACTTGATAAAATTTTAAGGCTTTTTGGATAACACAAATTTAAGCTGGTACCATCTTTTGATGGACGTTTTGAGGGTGCTATAACCTTCCTCACACGTAACCGAACTCTCGAACTCTGTTCTGGTTAGTAGACCTGAACCTATTCTTTTAGGGATCCTTAAACTTAGGTGTTTCCTGAAAGAACAGATTCTTTAGGTGACCAATCGCACTTAAATAAAAAAGATTGATGATGACTCCCTTAAGTCAATATCTAATGATAGATCTCCGGATATAGACGTTATGACAATTCAAATTTAAGTACCATGCATCCTTTTTAAATTTGTTCTCTTTTTCATAACTTTTCAATTAGCGTGTTAAAATGAATTTGAGAAAAAAAATAGAAAAAGATGATTTGTTTGGATATTGCAGAGAAATTAATTCTTTGGTGGGTGATATTGATACATAAGACTTGAGATTTTATTATTGCTGTCCATTTTTATATCTTTCAATGTAAAAAATTTAATTAAAATCAAATTATCAAACCGATTAGATAAAGAATTAATGATTTGTCCAATCTGATTTGAGAAATGAAAAAAATCGATCTTTCATTCAATCAATCAAAATTCGATTAAATTAAATTTGATCAAGGTTATTAAATCAATTTTAATCAATTTTAACCATTTTTATTATTTAAAAATATTTTATAAATGATAAGATTTAAACTCTTATTTTTTATAATTTTGATTAATATAATAACTATTAAGTCAAACATATTTATTTGCTAAGTATTTACAATGTTGAATATAAGATTAACAAATAATGCATTTAAAGCCTAATTAATGCTTGTAATTTAACCGACCAATTAAACCAAGAAGCAGATATCCAACTGGTTCAACCGCCCTTCGGTCATAAAAAGTTGCAAGTTTTGAAACTAGGGAGGGGGAAAGTGTAATTAAGCGGTTCTTTCAGGGAGATTATGTAATTTTCCATTCACTCAAAGCCAAACTGGGCAACGAAATTAACACCATTGTGCATCCCACCTCACTTGATAATTTTGGATATAGACAAAACAAGCTGAGCGTTTTCATTTATTATCGTGCCACTTGTCTTATTTGCCATCGAAGATATGCCAATAAATTTAGGTGAGAGAGATCGTTCTTGCAATTGTCTCCCTCCGCTCTCAACCGAAAAATGGAGCAGGCAAAAAGCAACAAAAAACATCACAGATTTCATGTCAATCTCAAGAACCTTCCGCCTATAGATCCTTCGATCATCCCCCCACTCTATCAGGTAAATTACCCTAATATAACACAATTAAGGTTTCAATCAATCAATTTGTCTGAAAATTCTCTTTCTTTTGTGCCTTTCCAGGATAAATATGATAACCGCAGTTCCAGAAATGAACCAAATGTAGTAAGACTGAGCTCCAGAGAGGGAACAGAGCTGGTAGAATTTGACCAGTTACCCAGGAAAGCAGATATGGCTTACGGAAATTTAAGACTGGATATGGAGGTTGAGGAAGATGTTTGTTTATCCTCAACCAAGTTAATAGACCCCAACAGCACCAAGAACTTCAACAGGGAGAGTGAGATTTTCCATAGTAACTTGGCTGTTCAAGGTAAGGATATCCTGTCAATTCTGAAATTTCCAGGGTTACTTTTTTGTTCAATTCCAATCGTGTTTCCTTTTTTTATTTTTTTTTCTAATCTAAATATAATTATGAAAGCATTAATCTATCAGCCAATTAGCTTTCCTTATTAAGGGCAACTAAGTAAATGAACTTGAGTCTCAACAAAAGACAAAAGTACTATGCAGTGTGCATTCTTTCTTGATTATTACTAATTATTTAAATTTGATGAATTATAATTATAGATTTCATACATTATTAGTAAATTATATTTTTATAAAATATAATTTTAAATGTATTTTTAAAATTAATTTTTTATGAATAATTATGTGTTTTACTTTCATCTATATACTTGTAATACATCAAATATAAACTTTTATTTTAAATATTAATTAGGAAGATGAAGGTTCTGTCGAAGTCTTTATGCAACTTAATTAATTCAATAAATCATGATTGGAAGACGTTATTTCCCACAGATTGCTTCAACATAGTTGATGAGGGGATTTTTTTTTTTTTTACCTAATAGCAGTTGATTCATGCAATCATCTTAAAAGGTAGCACTTTATAGGTTTGGGTTTGAATCCTAGTAACTACAACCCCTTTCTCTATTTGGCAGATTCTTTTGTAAAAATGAAAGATTTTTTTTTCTATTTTTGGATGATAAAAGTAAGGAGAAAAGAGATAAGATTAATTACTACCTTCAATTACTCTGTTAATGCTTTTCTTAGTCTTTGAATTCAAAGATATAAAGAAAAGAAATGAAACCAAATGGTAAAATTCTTTATAATTTCTCCAATTATCTATTAAATTAATAAAGAATTATGCAAAATTATGCGACCTTATAGTTTACCTTGTTGCTCACACTGTTGCTTTTCTCCAATCTAAAAACTAAAAGCAGATTGATTTTTAATTGACATTGAAATTTACTTCTAGGTTCTGATATGATCTTGTTTTCCCGTTAGATGCTCCGAAAATGGCATCAGCCAAATCACAGTTGCACGAGATATGTGCTGCAAACAATTGGAAATTGCCGTTGTATGAATGCTGCAAGGAGGAAGGCCCTTCTCACATGAAATTGTAAGTAACATCAGCTGCAGTTCTTGAGCCACTCACCTTTTTTATATCCTTCTCCCAACTGCTGAAAGAAACAAAAGAAAAAGAGGACAAATTATATTAAGTTATAACTAGAAAAAGTTATTTTATGAGCCATGGGATTCATAAATCTCAATGTCACTGAAGCCCCGTTTGAGAGGCTGGTCGATGGAGAGCCCCTTCCACTGCACTAGCTCGTACTCCCAAACGGTTCCTTAGTGGAACAAGATTACCGATTATATATATGGTGACTAATTCATGTATTATACAGATTCACCTTCAAGGTTGTTGTTGAGATACAAGAAGCATCAGCTACCATTTTGCAGTGCTTTAGTGATCCTCAGTCCAAGAAGAAAGTGGCAGCAGAGCATGCAGCTGAAGGGGCATTATGGTATTTGAGACATCTTGGGTATTTTCCACCCAACAAGCTATCAAAAGCCAGTTCGCTTGACTCATAGGATCAGGATAATCATACCATTGTTTGTTTCTTTCCTTTTCTAACAGAAGGTAATAACAGGGAATATTCAACTTGTACCTATTCGTAATGGTGATGATATAAATATTTTGTTATTTTTTTTCATTTTTAGTAACAATATATTGCTGAAAGCATTGTAAATGTGTGTAAATGGTTATAAATGTTTGATGTAATCAAACAAAAAGGTAATAAAAGATCCATATTTATTGTAAAAACCTTTTGGATTCTTGAAAATACAAACTTATTAGTTTTGTTTATATCAAGTTGATTAATGAAATAGACCTATATGTATTTGAAAGCCATTTAAATCTTGCGTCTTATTTTATTTTTATTTTATTTTATGATCTTAAAAAGTTGTGAAAGTTGATAGTGCTTTTTATGATATGGAAAACTATTGGGCTTCATCGATATAATATGAGTTTGCTAGGGCAGGATGGTTCGGGTCTGATGTTGCTTTGCTAATTGATTTGTTTGATTCAAAAAATATTTTTGATTGGATTAAATCTTGGATCATAACAATGGATAAAATAGATTACAGTAGTTGTTGGTTTGCTTGGAGATTTGCCTTCACTCTGTGGAACAGGAGTACAAGAACATTTTTGAGGAGAAAAATCCAAATCATGTTGCTGCAATTTCCCTGTTTAATGGAAAAGAAAAGACAAATAGGTCATGGAATAGCTGTTATTATTAAATCCTGGGAAGGACTGGACCAGCTCAATAGACAGCCTCGACAGCTCAATGGACCAGCTGTTACTACAGCATCTTTGCTAAATTGTTCATCATACGTGAACTTCTCATCAGGATTGTCATACTCCATCTTCAGCCATGCTGTATTTGGAAACAAGACAAGCTCATTCACAAAGCGTTTACAAATCCCAAGCTGAAACGACGTTGGAATATCACCCCCTTTTCAGACATTGAAGTTCTTAAAAACAGCATAAACGGTTTGGATGTCTTCACCACCAGCCTGCCGTTCCAAACGGAAGCCATGAACTCTGATGTTCTTATGATGTTGTGGAGAACTTTAATGTTGAAATTTGGAAGATATACGGATTAGCAAATTTTAATGGAATTTTTGGATTTTCGCAAATTTTCAAATTGTGACAAATGAAGTTAATGTTACTAATTAATTATCCAAAAAAAGAAGCGTGGAAATTGTGTACAATTCTTGTATGCTTGAGTTTTGAAGAAAAAATCGGATCATGCAATAAAATCTTGGCATAACTCCAACCAAGGATTGTCTGAATCAACTACAAGACAATCTCTTGTGTTGGATTATTCAAAGCATTACTCCAATACCATGTCGCCTACTACAAAATCATAATAGGATAGATGCTGATTTCACAAAGCCTAATTCTCCCTCATCTCTTCTAGCTTTCATGGCATTAACAATCAGCTACAACAACCGCAGTTCCATTCTTTTCCTCAAACAGTGTAGTGCTGTTGGATGGTGTCAATGTCGAGTCCTTTGAGTTTGACTACAGATTCAACATGTCCTTTGAGTGTGTGAAGCTCCCGCAACCTGGTAAACCAGAAGTTTTAGATAAGTTTTAGAAGCGGCTTTAAAATTGAACTAATGAAAGCAAAATTTGCTTTAGCCATTTGATAGATTATCACCTTGCAACTTCCGCACGTTTCCTGGCTTGTTCAGCAATCTCTGACAGTTCTATAGAGTTGCTCCGCTCGTTGTAGAGCTCTGTCATTTCAGGAGATGTCAAGCCATGAAGGGTGCGTTGAGCCATGGCCCATTGTGCCTCCCTCTCTCCTTTTCCATAATCCTTCTTTGTTGTGAAGGCAGTCTACACATTGAATGTAAGACAAACAGAGCAAGTAAAACATCAATAGCATCTTTAAAGAGGAAATTACGAATTATTGTTATCAAGAAAGTACTGATTAGATACCTTGTTTTGAAGCAAATTATCCCAAGCCTTTCCACTCAAAGAATAGCGGATCAAGAACTTGATTACATCAAGTGGGATGTAGAAGACTAGACTGTAGATCCAGATAACACCAGCCCAACCCCATCCAATGCCTTTGATTCTGGCAAAGCCCCAGTTTGCATAAACAGCAAGTATTGTAGCCGCCTAAAATGTTGAATCAAAGAAGAAAAAGTTTATAAAACTTACAGCAATTATATTTCGGCAAATTGAAGTGATTTTATACGACTCACCAGTTGTGCTAAAATGAAGGCAGTAACTAGCAGGAGACCAGGGCGTTCGACAAAAGACCAGCTCCGAGAACGAGTGACAAAGATGAGTGCCTGACTCACAATACTCACTTGGAGGTAGACAGCAGCTGTAAGCTCCTCTTTATTGTTCCTGATGGATCTTACCCCAAACTTATCCTGCAATTGTTATCAAACTTTAATTGATGCTTTGTGGTTCCTATTACGGTTGTAAAGAGAATGTTAAAGAGTATTTTTCTTACTGGAAAGAAGTTAGACTCGGTAGCAGCCCAGAAGAAAACAACAGTCATGCAAGCAAGATAGGCACCAAGGACAATGCCAGTGGCAAAAATCTCCTTGAGCTTCCATGAGTCAGGCATAGGAGATGGCTTAACCCTGTCCTTGGAAATGGTCATAATTGTTCCATCATTCAGTATGGCTATGATCAAAACCATGAAAGGCGAGAAATCAAACTTCCAAATAAGAGCAAGGAGCGTAAAACCCAGCACGATACGGATAGTAATAGAGACAGCATAGATGGTATAGTTTTTCATTCTCTGAAAAATAGCTCTGCTTGTCAGAACAGCACTCACAATCACACTTAGTCCTGGTTCTGTTAATACTATGTCTGATGCACCTCGAGCTGCATCAGTTGCATCAGCAACTGCAATTCCAATATCTGCCTTCTTAAGAGCTGGTGCATCATTCACACCATCTCCAGTCATGCCACATATGTGGTTCCTTTGTTGTAGCCTCCTCACAATCTCATACTTGTGCTCTGAATGGTAGCCATTAGTAAGGGCAATAGTGACAGTTTTCAAAGCACACTAGCTCTAAGATAAGCATCAACTTAATGCCAAAATGATATTTCATTTGAGGAAAATTAACACATAGCTAAAAGGAAAATCATAAAAATTCAATAAAAAAATATGTTAAATTAACCTACCAGGGAAAACGCCTGCAAAGCCATCAGCCTTCTCAATAAGCTCATCAACGCCAATTGTATCGATTGCATCACCCATATTTTGGCCAAGGAGAGCAGATGATGGATACATGTTGGTTCCCATGCCGAGCCTCCTACCAGTTTCCTTTCCAATGGCTAATTGATCACCAGTGATCATCTTGACATTGACACCAAGATTTAGAGCACGGCGAATTGTCTCTGCACTATCATGCCTCGGGGGATCAAACAGAGGCAATAAACCCACAAATTGCCATGGATCCCCCTGGCTCTCCTTGGTTTTCTCTGACACAGTCTACAATATCAAAAAATTTATTCCATTATAAGCTTTTCTTTCCATTTACTTGCTAATTCAAATAAAGTTAGGGAGAAAGTAGCGTAGAAAAGTTACTTGTTTAGCCACAGCAAGAGAGCGAAGCCCACGATCAGCAAACTTAGCGATGATATCATGAGCTTTCTTCTTCACATCTTCTCGGAGGTTGCATAGGTCAATAATCTGATAGGGATGTCAGATATTAAGTATTAACAAAGAAAATAACTCTGTTGATAAGAAAAGCATTGGTACAATGGAAGCCGATCCATTTACCTGTTCTGGTGCACCTTTGCTGACTCGATGCCAACTACCATCAGACTCAATATATGTCATGGCTGTACGCTTGTCTACTGGGTTAAAGGGAAAGAAATGAACCTCTGTAACACCTGCTCTGGCCTGCCAATAAATTGAAAATTAAATTTTATGTCATCAGTTATCATGATACGAGGATAAGCATATAATATCAAAATTTTAACTTACTCCTTGAGACACGCAAGTAGCAAAAACAGGTTAAAAAGATTCGCTTTTGTCAATCTTAACTCACCTCCTTGGGATCACCTAGCATTTCAACAATGCAGGCATCAATAGCATCTTGATTCTCAACCCTGGACGCCCTAGCCGCTAGTAGAATAACCATGTCCTTGTCAACATTGTTTGTGAACACCTGAAATTTCACAAGATCATTATCTGTCTTTGCTTTTCTTATTTGACCCTATTTTTTATGGTGTGATATGATCAATGCAACATCAATCCTTAATTAGTTTTTAACCTTAATTCAAGAACCAACCTCAATCATGGTCTTGTCTACAGTAAGCTTGTTGAGAGTAAGTGTCCCAGTCTTATCACTGCAGAGTACATCCATTCCAGCCATTTCTTCAATAGCTGTCATTCTCTTAGTGATAGCTCCTTGTTGTGAAAGCCGGTGAGATCCAATGGCCATTGTCACGGATAAAACTGTTGGCATGGCAATTGGAATCCCTCCAATGAGAAGCACCAATAGATTATCGATTCCGTCTCTGTACCTACGGTGCTGGATTGGATACATCACCAATATCTCGATAATCATCCCTACTGCAATTGAGCATATGCAGAAGTTCCCAATTGCAGTCAGCACCTAATAAAACAATCACCATTCAGTGCACATCAGGTACAAGTAAAAAACAACTGCAAGTTCCGCACTTAGAAATACCGCTTAGCTTTAATATTCTTGTTTACCAGAAAAATCATTTCAACACAGCTCCTGACGTTACCTGCTGGAAGTGCCCTACGTTATTGGTGCTATCAACAAGGTGGGCAGCTTTTCCAAAGAAGGTGTGGACTCCAGTGGCAATAACGACAGCCTCAATCTCACCTTGTTTAACAGTAGAACCAGAGAATATCTCATCACCCGCGTTCTTGGTTACAGGCAAAGACTCGCCAGTAAGGGCAGACTGATCAATCTTGAGTGCATCACCTTCAAGGAGACGTGCATCTGCAGGTATTATATCTCCCAACTTAATGCTGATGATGTCTCCCGGTACCAAAATTGCAGCTTCTTGCTCGCTCCACCTTCCATCCCTTAGGACCTTCAATCATTCAAAAATGCATAACGGGTTAGAGACTTTGTTCCCCTTATCATGCAACACAAGTAATTTCTATTTTACATTTAAGTTAGTGAATATTGTATTTGCAATTAGTTATTCATAATCTTAAGCACCTTGGTTTTAGGAGCAAGACCAGCCATAAGTGCTGCAGCAGCATTGCCTGCATTATTTTCTTCGATGAAGCTAATAGTTGAGTTGATAAAGAGCAATGCCACAATGCCAACAAAATCTTGCCAATCTGGGGGTTTGCCCTGCATTTATTCATAGAATTAGAGATTGCTTATCCAATCTATTAATTCAAGTAAAAGAGAAAGTAACAGAATAGAAACAGAAGGTGAGAGATTAGCATACTCCTCCGTTTGCCAAACAAATGGCCATAATAGCGGCAATCTCCATGACCCATGAGAGGGGATTCCACATAAATCCCAAGAACTTCAAAAACTTGCTCTCCTGTTCAATGTAGTTTTTAGTTTTGTACACCAATCAGTATCTCCCCACATTTTGTATTAGATACCAAAATGGAGAGAAGAAAAAAAAAAGAGGGTCTAAATTAAGAAATTTGCCTTTTTCTCTTCAAGCTTGTTTGGACCAAAGATCTGCAGCCTCTTTTGCCCTTCCTCACTTGATAGCCCTTCCTTGGTGCATTTCAACTGTTGAAACACTTCTTCAACAGGAATGCGCTCCTGCAACCGCCACATACCAAAAGCTAACACTCAAAATTTCACAACCTTGAAATCAAACTCGGAACTAAGCAAGTCATATTACCAGCTTTTATATTTGAGTTAAACATAAAAAGAAGAAAGAAATAACCAGAAACAAAGAACACTTTGATGAACACGAAGAAAAAACTTACAAGGTCGACTGTCTCATTCCTGATTTCTTCCAAGCTGATGCTTTTATGCGCCATCTTTCTCTCTTCTTCTAATCACTTTCCCAGAAAAAAAAAAAAAGACAAAAAGATATGTAGTCTCTTTATTTATCTTTGCATGCAAAGCAAAAGTACGTTATGAAGTGGAGCTGAGGCTTGTCTCATATTAACCCACTTCTGCTACTTCTTTTTACTTTTCTTCTTCAAAGAAAAGCAATTAAGAACAACTTTTTCTTCTTTTCTTCTATTTCTTTGGGTTTTTTTAAAAGTTTATTCGGCTTGCTATGGTACAAAATATACAAAGCGAATCTGTAAATTTGAGTGTATTGGTTGGCATCTATATAGGAGAGTTTTGGTCAATGTGTTGGGAAAATCAAGTGTAAATGAGCGAAGGAGCGGAAGCCTCTTAGTCGACGCAGCCCTGGTCATTCGGCTATCACCTTTCACCATGTCTATCACTCACATTTTTCTTAAACCATCAAGTGCCCAATTAATTTGTTACTGCTTTTTTTGTACTTTGAATTGGGTTTACTGTTGTGTGGAAGATGCTTCAATGTAGCCCCATGAGATGCAGACATTCATGGAAGTGGTGGAAACAACTGACACTTGAAGTAATTTTAAGCATGAAAAGAGAGAATTTTGGGGCCTCTTTGAATTGGGAAATGATAATAAGAACAAAAATATTAAAATTTTCTTCAGTCTAACTGTTTCATGACCATTGGCAACAAATGAATGCAAACATGTAAAGGTAATTTCTTTTATAATGATTTCAAATTATAAAAGAATGTTTACTTCAATGTTGATAACGAAATTGTTGGACTCTTTGAGATAATTGAATAAGTCTTTTATTATCAAAGATAAATATAGAGTTTTTATCATTTAATTGGGAACTAAATCTTAATTAATTGTATAATAATGAGAAAAAATGATTTGGAGCCTTCTACTAGGGGAAAGACATCTATCTCATGTAGATACCCCAGGTTCTAATTGTTTTTGTTAATAAATATAAAAAAATAAAAAAGAAATGAAAAAGAAAAAATTAAGAGGTTGAGTTTGTGTGAAATTTGTTTGTTTGAATTGGACTTAAAATTTGGAGTTGAAATTTAAAGGAAATTAAAACCCTTTTTGGTTTAGGTTTTCTGTATTTAAACTTTATAAATATAGATACACATCAAAAAGCAAAACATAGATTATCGAGGCAGAAAAACTACACAAAAGGCAACCAAAGAGTATGAAAATTTTTTGAAAGATTTTTTGGTTTAAAAGAAATTAAAAAATTTTTTTTTTTTGAAAATCTCAAATTTCGATGGAATTTTTCAACAACCATTGAAGATTTCATTTACTTTCCAGTAACATCCAAGTTTCCCACAAGATTCTCAATTTTTCAAAAATCAATGAATTTTCAACAACTCAAACTAGATTTCGACAAAAATTTTTAGAATCTAGTGAAAATTTAATCGGTGTTCTTGGTTTAGAGAGATAGAGAAGAAAAGAAATCTAAAGAAAAAAGAAGAAATTTAGCCTTTTTATATTCAAGCCTAAACGGCAGCATTTTGGAGGTTAAGCAACCCTCAGGATCCTCGTATTTTTTAGTAGGTGACCCGACTCGTAGCGCCGTGAATTGTGACCCATTTCTAGCAACAAAATCCCGAAGCCGAGTTGAGCCACACCGAGCCATCAAGCTGCATCTTTAGAACTGTCATCTGTGTCTTTCACCGAGCCTGTTTACCGTTGGAGCCAAGCCGATTACTTGGTATTTTATTTATTTATTTATTTATTTATTTTCTTTGTGTATTTGTTTTTTAAAGTATTTTTGCATTATTAAATTTTTAAAAAAAATGTAAAAAATTTAAAAACAAGAAAATAAGAAAAAACACAACTTTAATAAAAATTTTTGAAATTTAAATACTAATTACCCAACAATAAGATTTATAAAAATTTCAAATGGTAACTATTCTAAGAAATCTTTAGGTTAGAAATTCTCTAAATTTATCTCAAATAATAAAATAATTTAGATAAAATTTCAATAAAAGTAATTGTATTTTTTTCAAATAAAAATATTAACAATATAACTTAAAATTTTTAGTTGAAAATATTTGACAGTTATCTAAAGATGAAGATATTAGAAATTTCAAATGATAAATTTCCTAAGAAATCTCTAAGTAAGAATTTTTTTAAAATTTGTCTCAAATAGTGGAAGAATTTAAATTAAACTTAAAAAAAATAATTTTTATATTATTTTGTTTCCAAAGATTAAAGAGAGAGAGAGAGAGAGAGAGAGAGAGAGAGAATTTCTAAATAGACTCAAATGATGAAAAATTTAAAAATTAAAAAAAAATTCTAAATAGGCCTAAATGTTGAAAAATTTAAAAATAAAAAAAATTTTCTAAATAGGCTCAAATGGTGAAAATTTTAAAAATTAAAAAGAAAATTTATAAATAAACCTAAATTGTGAAAAATTTAGAAATAAAAAAGATCTAAATAGTCCAAAATGATGGAAATTTTAGAAATAAAAATAAAAAATAAAAACAAAATTTGAAGATGAAATTTTTAGTAATTACAAATGATTGATTATTTAAAAAAATTTTAGGTAAGAAAATACTTCTAATTTGGCTCAAATTATAGAAAAATTAGATATATTTTCAATATAAAATAACCAAAATAAGAGCTCATTCAAAGAATAGATTCATTAGGTAATCAATCAAGCATTGATAAAAGATTGGTAGCGATTCTTTAAAGTTAAATCTAGTTATAGATTTATAAATTTATATGTTTTGACACCTCACAACTAAAAAAATAACTAATTGTTGACTATCATTTGAATCAGTTGGCATATTATTGAAGTTAGCATTTAGAGATTATCTATTTTAAAGAGTTTAGACACGTAACGTTCTCATCAATCAAATATGTAATAAAATAAAAGATTTAATAATAAATTAAAAATTTCAAAACATAAATAAAAAAGGTAATTAATTCTCTGCTCGAAAGAAAATTCTCTCATTCTCTCTATGGATATTGATTTTTTTTTCATAATAAATTCTCATAATGAATTTTAATTTCACAATTTAATCCTAATAATTTTTATTATCCTACATAAATAAAAAAAATAAATCATATCTTAATTTAATTAAAATATCATTAATTATAAAATAGTTAATCTAATAAATTATCGAAAGTATATATATAGTGCATTATTTGCTCTTTTGAAATTGATACTTTTATAGATAAATATAAAATATTAAAATATTGATATTGATCTTGGTAAGTCTAATCATCATTAGCATTTTTATGAGTAATTTATTCAAAAAATTTTCCAAAATTTCAAGTTTATTTATTATTAAGTTACAAATATATAAATAAATATTCCAATATTTGATTAAATGATCAATAAATGTATTTTCTACTCAAAAGAGTTAAGTTCAAAATTAAATCCTCCTTTCCCTGATTTAAAAAAAAAAAATTACTTCGAAAAAGAAAGTCACAAACATATAGTTGATTGACAATAATAAATACCAACTCTCAATAAAAAATCATTGTTCATTCACTCACATTTCACTGTTAGAGTAACAGTACCAACATATTTGTCTTCTTCTATGTTTCTTAAAACTATTCAAAATTGACCAAGAAAATTAGAAACTCAATTACCTCTCTTTTAGAAAGGTTAAAAGTTCTGCAAATCTGAATAGTGCTCATAAATGACAGCAAAAAAGAAATAAAAATACTGGAAAATCATCATCAGAACTCAAAAGGAACAAAGATTATTTGGAATTGATAAGCATTCCTTCTACCATTTGGAAGAATGGAAGAATACATTTTTTTCTTAATTAGATTGATGCTGACAAGAACAAGCTGCTGCTGTATGAAACTCCAGTTGGTTCAACCTACAGGTAACTTAATTGGTAGGAAAAAGTTTTGCTTTGCATAGCACTCTGTTATTACAGAAACAACTAATAAAGAAAAATATTTGGATATTTGTCAATTTCCCATGCTCAAGTCCTGCCCTTTTTCATACGGTGTAGTGTTGTTGGATGGTCTCGATGTCAAGTCCTTTGAGTTTCACAACTGATTCAACATGCCCCTTGAGCGTGTGAAGCTCCCTCAACCTGTTAAATAAGATGCGGACATAAAGGTTAAAGACTGTTTCAAGAATACAACTAGCAAAACAAAAATCACAATCACTAGTCACCTTGCAATTTCAGCGCGCTTCATGGCTTGTTCAGCGATCTCTGACAACTCTCTATAGTTGTTCTTGTCATTTAAGATATCTTCTGCTCCAGGAACCTGTAATCCATGAAGGGTGCGCTGAGCTGTGGCCCATTGTGCCTCCCTCTCTTCCCTTCCATAATCCTTCTTTGTTGTGAAGGCAGTCTATGTATGAAGAACAACATTAAAGGAAAAGTCAATACAGTGGAAAAAACAAAAAAAAAAAAAACACTACTTTATAGTTTTCATCAGGATAATGATTTCCAAACCTTATTCTGGAGAAGATTATCCCAGGCCTTTCCACTTAAAGAATATCGGACGAAGAACTTTATAATATCAAGTGGGATGTAGAAAACTACACTGTAGATCCAAATAACACCAGCCCAACCCCATCCAATGCCTTTTATTCTTGCGAAGCCCCAGTTTGCATAAACAGCAAGTACAGTAGCCACCTTAAAATGTTCAACAGCATAAATATATCAGTAAGTTGCTCTTGTACATTAAATTCTGCAATGATGTCAAGCAGCTGGAACTGAAATTTTATGCAACTCACCAGTTGTGCTAAAAGGAAGGCAGTGACTAGCAGGAGACCAGGGCGTTCGATGAAGGACCAGCTCCGAGAACGAGTGACAAAAATGAGTGCCTGACTCACAATACTCACTTGGAGGTAGACAGCGGCTGTAAGTTCCTCTTTATTGTTCCTGACGGATCTTACTCCAAACTTATCCTGCAAATTGTTATCAAACTTTAATTGATGCTTTGTGGTTCCTATTATGGTTTAAGGAGAATATGAAGAGTATTTTTCTTACTGGAAAGAAGTCAGACTCGTTAGCAGCCCAGAAGAAAACAACAGTCATGCAAGCAAGATAGGCACCAAGGAAAATGCCAGTGGCAAAAATCTCCTTGAGCTTCCATGAGTCAGGCATAGGAGATGGCTTAACCCTGTCCTTGGAAATGGTCATAATTGTTCCATCATTCAGTATGGCAATGATCAATACCATGAAAGGCGAGAAATCAAACTTCCAAATAAGAGCAAGGAGCATAAATCCCAGCACGATACGGATAGTAATAGACACAGCATAAATGGTATAGTTTTTCATTCTCTGAAAAATTGCTCTGCTTGTCAGAACAGCACTCACAATCACACTTAGTCCCGGTTCCGTTAATACTATATCTGATGCACTTCTAGCTGCATCAGTTGCATCAGCAACCGCAATTCCAATGTCTGCCTTCTTAAGAGCTGGGGCATCATTCACACCATCTCCAGTCATTCCACAAATATGGTTCCTTTGTTGTAGCCTCTTCACAATCTCATATTTGTGCTCTGAATGGTAACATTGGTCAGGGACAATATTGACAGTTTTTATAGCACACTAGCCGTGAAATAATTATCAAGTTAGCACCAAAAAGATAACCCATTTCGAGAAATTATTATATGGTCACTCTTACCATAGTCTTTATAATCTAAATAAATCAATATGTGGCATGTCATTAAATTGTTTAGGGGGAGCATACATAGAAGGAACTATTTAATAATTTTCCTTCAACAAAATTAAGAATCAGGCTCATCGATGCACAAGTAAAAAACAAAATGCCATAATTTCAGAAACAAATCATCTATCAACTCAATTACCTGGGAAAACTCCTGCAAAGCCATCAGCCTTCTCAATAAGCTCATCAACACCGATTGTGTCAATTGTCTCACCTTTATTTTGGCCAAGGAGAGCAGATGATGGATACATGTTCGTTCCCATGCCAAGCCTCCTACCAGTTTCCTTAGCAATTGCTAATTGATCACCAGTTATCATCTTGACATTAACACCAAGATGGAGTGCACGACGAATTGTCTCTGCACTATCGTGCCTTGGAGGATCAAACAGAGGCAAAAGACCCACAAATTGCCAGGGACTTCCAGGGCTCTCCTTGCTTTTCTCTGGAATAGCCTACAAAATCAAAAAGTTTATTCCACAATAAGTTTTTCTTCTCATTTGCTTTTCAAAAGAAACATAGTTATGACGAAAAACGCTTGCGAACTCACTTGTCTAGCCACACCAAGAGAGCGAAGTCCACGATCAGCAAATTTACCAATGATATCATGAGCTTTCTTCTTCACATCTTCTCGAAGGTAGCAGAGGGCAATAATCTGGTAGCAATGTCAGGTAAAAATAATGAGCATAAAACTGCAAAGAAAGAAAAATATGGCATCAGCTCCTGCTGATATTTTACCTGCTCTGGTGCACCTTTGCTGACTCGATGCCAAGTGCCATCAGAGTCAATGTATGTCATGGCTGTGCGCTTGTCAACTGGGTTAAAGGGGAAGAAATGCACCTCTGTGATACCTGCTCTTGCCTGTAAACCAACACAAAAAGTAAGGTTTATTGCATATCATTCATATCAGATATGGGCCACAATGATCAAACAAATGGCATGCTCTATAAGGCAAGTAAATTCCATCTTGAGAAAGGCTTCATGGCTCCCAAACATGAAGGAGTCAAAAGATATATGGAAATGGATTGACATGTGCAAGAGAATTTTACCTCCTTGGGGTCACCTAGCATTCCAACGATGCAGGCATCAATAGCGTCTTGATTCTCAACCCTAGAGGCCCTAGCCGCAAGTAAAAGAAGCATTTCCTTGTCAACATCCTTTATGAACACCTGAAATTGCATTTTCATGGTCAATGATTTATGGTTTCCCAACAAATATATGATTTCTTCGATTGACTCCTATATTAAAAGTATGATATGATTATTGGTTAATGACTGCTTTAGAATCCCAAATCATTAAAATAACCTATTTACTATTTATTTTTGTCATTCAATTTAAAGACCAACCTCAACCATGCTCTTGTCTACAGTAAGCTTGTTGAGAGTAAGTGTCCCGGTCTTGTCACTGCAGAGTACATCCATTCCGGCCATTTCTTCAATGGCAGTCATTCTCTTGGTAATAGCTCCTTGTTCAGAAAGCCGGTGAGATCCAATGGCCATTGTCACGGACAAAACTGTTGGCATGGCAATAGGAATCCCTCCGATGAGAAGCACCAAGAGATTATCAATTCCATCCCTATACTTTCGATGCTGGATCGGATACATCACCACAATCTCAATAATCATGCCTAATGCAATAGAGCATATGCAGAAGTTCCCAATTGCTGTCAGCACCTGATTGAACAATTACCATGCAGTGCATATCAGATACAAATGAAGAACAGGTGTAATTTTGAACTTCACAATATTGATGAAGGACAGTGATTTAGCTTTAATATTTATATCTTTACCACAAAATACTTCTATAAATTTAGCTTGTGACATTACCTGCTGGAAGTGCCCTACATTATTGGTGCTATCAACCAGGTGAGCAGCTTTTCCAAAGAAAGTGTGCACGCCGGTGGCGATAACAACGGCCTCAATCTCACCTTGCTTGACAGTAGAACCAGAGAATATCTCATCACCTGAGTTCTTGGTTACTGGTAAAGACTCACCAGTTAAGGCAGACTGATCAATCTTGAGAGCATCACCTTCAAGGAGACGTGCATCTGCTGGAATGATATCCCCCAACTTGATGCTGATGATATCTCCTGGTACCAAAATTGCAGCATCTTGCTCACACCATTTTCCATCTCTTAGGACCTTTAATCATTCACGCATGCAACGAAACATAAGTTTCACTCTCATAGATGTGGTTGGTTGTATTAGTCTTTCACCGCGTGTGTGTGTGCAGCATGATTTTATTGTGTTGGACAGTTATTCATATATTATATATATTCTTAAGCACACCTTGGTTTTTGGAGCAAGCCCAGCCATAAGTGCCGCTGCAGCATTGCCTGCATTGTTTTCTTCAATGAAGCTAATAGTGGAGTTGATAAAAAGCAATGTCACGATTCCAACGAAATCCTGCCAATCTGGCGGTTTGCCCTGCATTTTATTTATTGAGTTAAAAGATTGTATCCAACAGCAATCAAGTACCAAGATAGAGAGATAGAGTGGAAGATTAATACTCCTCCGTTTGCCAAACAAATGGCCATAATTGCAGCAATCTCCATGACCCATGAGAGAGGATTCCACATAAAACCCAGAAACTTGAGAAACTTGCTTTCCTGATCAAAATTTGTTCAAACACTAATCAGTTTCTCTCCCTCATTAAATACGGAGAATCAAAAATGGGGAAAGAATGGGACTGAAATTAGCAAACTTACCTTCTTCTCTTCGAGTTTGTTTGGGCCAAAGATTTGCAGCCTCTTCTGCCCTTCCTCGTTTGTCAAGCCCTCCTTGGTGCATTTCAACTGCTCAAACACTTCTTCAACGGGAATCCGCTCCTACAACCACACACAAAAAAGCCATTTTTGATCAGTTAAGTATCTAACAATTAAATACTCTTCAGAGCTGCATACCCAACACTATATTTTTCACTTTTTTAACGCAAAAAAGAAAGGGTTTCCATTCAAACTGGCAAAGGTAGCCAATGTCAGCCTTGTTATCAAACTACTTATTCAATGAACTAAGAGTTGGTTCATAAAAAAAGTATTCAATACATCTGAGGTTTAAATCTATCCGTCCCAGCTGCGAACTCTTTGTAGAAAAAAACTACTCATTCAATCAATGCATGCAGAAATGAATAGTAGTACTAAAATCATAAAAATAATTCTCTTTCATCTTATAATGAACAAAACTATGAAAATGTAAAGGTAACGTTCTTACAAGGTCGACGTTCTCGTTCTTGATTTCCTGCAAGCTGCCGTCTTTGTCCACCATCTTCCTCTCTTCTTCTTCTCCCCCAAAAAAAAAAAAAAAAACACCAACAAATACTTAACTAGTGTTCTCCTATAGCTCTTCTTTTCACAGTAATCCCCTTGTGTTACATCAAAGCGATGCTACACTGTTTCTCTTCCAGAAATGAACTGCTTTATTTTTTCTTCGGGTGTTGCTTTGTTTGCTTATTAGTACGAGTAGATCTGTTCAACAAATCACAATGAAGAGCAGAAGTGCTAGCTTGAGTGAATATATATACAACGTTGTTGTTTCCCTAAAATAAACATGTTTTGGTTAGTGTTTTTTTTGGAGGGTAAACTCAACTCCATGCTACCAAAATGAACGAAGGAGCGGGTTTCTTGGTCTTACGCTGCCCAGGTCATTCGGGAAGTAACATCCCTCACTTTGCTACTCTCTCATACACGGTCCCTCGATATCCAATAAGATTCCACCATCTGTATTCAAAAATATGACGTGGCGTTTTGTTGTTGGTTGTGATCATGGAAATTCTTACAATTAAAATTTACAATTTTATATATAATTGTACTATATCAAACTATTTATGAGCTTGTATTTCAAAAAAAAAAAAATTATTTGTCGAGTAATTTGCTTGTACCTTGACCAAAAAAAAAATATAATCTACAATTTATATCATTAAAGCGAGACATTACTAAATCAAATCATGTTTGGGATATGAACATTTGGTCTAAAAGTTTATGACTAATTTTAATATTTTTAATTTAAAAAGTCGAATTTGAATCTTAATATTTTTTTAAAAAAATCATATATCATATATTTAAAAATTCCCAAACTGAAGGCCGAAGGCCCAAACAATTGATATACGCCTTCCAATGACAAAGCAAGTTTGTTTGCAAAAAAATGTCTTGATAGCCCAATAACTTATTCAATGCGAATTGCTTCATAATTAAACGGGTTAACATTTACTACTTCAATTACGTGACTTCTATTAAATTTGTATTCAGAAAATATACATATTAATGGGCCGAATCTACCTTGGTTTGATTGGCCTTTTGAGTCTCTTGTCCTAAGTCTCTCTTGACCCTTTAGGTTCTAAAAAACTGAAAATATTTTTTAAAAATTAAAATATTTAAAAATATATAAGATATTAATATTTCAATATTTTAAATATATTTTAAAATTAAAATTAGATAAAAATATTTTTATCAATTAAATAATGCTTGGGTTAATTTGAGTTAGGACTTAGAAAGATTATTTAAAACTTAATCTAAATCGAACCAAACTCATCGAGAGGGACGAATAGTTTAACTCTTGAGTAAATCTATTAAAATATAAAAATTTACAATTGACTAGTCATAATTTATTTCTGTTAATCTTATTTTCTTTTTCTATCCTTTTCAACTTGGATTTGTTAATAAGTATAAAAAATAATATTAATCTCTCCTCACACTTTTTTTCCTACTAAGCCATAAGCAATGGTAGTAAAAATTATTTTCTTTTTTTTTTTTTTTGACGTACCACTTTTATCCTTCCTCTCTTCAACCCTACCAAGCAAAGCTTAAAAATGTCCACTTTGATTAATCCATTTTAGGCATAGACTATATTTTCTATCTTTACATAATTTTTTACTAATCTTTACCATTGTTATTGTGGTTTAGTGGATGCTTTTACATAATTTTTTCTATAGGTATTTTGGGGATAAAAGATGAGAAGGAGGTGTGAAATGGAGAAAGAAAATTTACATGCAAAAAATAATACCTTTTCATTTTATATTTTGAAGAATGAATGCTTTTCTAAGTTCAAGTGTTTTAGGTACAACTAATTAAATTGACTATCACAATGTTTTGGCGAATTAGGTAAATTGATTGGTTTAAGAACTCCACAATCCCCTAAACAATTTTAACTTTAAGAGACGAAAACATTATCATGATAAAGATGGGATAATGAGGTAGGACCCCTATCCTTCTGCGATGGCAAATTTTGATTTCAGCAGAGATCGATGAGGACAAATAGAGAAAGCAACACTGATTGCAACAACCAAACCTAAAACCACATGCATACTTCTTCACTCCTCTGGATAGGATCAAATTCTCCTTAAACAACGTGGCCTGCCCCATGTGATGATGCACTTGACATGAGGGAGTTACGGGAGGGCGCTTTGACAAGGAGAAAAGAAAAGGGATGAATCTAGTTCATTCAATGACAATAATATCAATTTTGTGAAAAAAAAAAAAAAAAAGCTATGTTCATTATTTTTACAATGTTTAAATTAAAAAATAACTTTTATTGGTGAATCTTCTGAATTGAGAAATAAATAAATCAAATGTTCGGATACAAATCTTAGAAAAAGTTAATTTCATAATTTTTTATTATTTTTTTAGATATAAATTTATTTACACAATCTTAACGAAATTATTTTAAATAAAATAAATTTAAAAAAATTCAAGAAATAATTAAACTTTCCAAATACATAAATAAAGAAGTGCTACAATGGATTGTTCCATGAGTTAAAATAATTAATATACTTGCATTAGATTTTTAGTAAATTTTAAAATGTTATTATCTAATTTTCATTTGGATATAATCTGATTGCATAGAGTGGAAGTGAGGGAGAGAGTATTGTTGTTTTTTTTTTGTACAAAGAAAGTCACAGTATAAAAAATATATATATATTACAAGTACTAAAACTTGAACCTCGTATATATTAAATTTCACTTTTTAAAATAATTATACAAATCAATTAAATTAAAATTTGAATTCATTAGCTCTTCATCATCGAAGATGTAGCTAAAACCAGTGAAAGCTAGCATGCATGAAAATGGGGCCCCACTATTTGGGTAACATGCTTGATCACGTGAAGGGATGGAGAAGATGGAAAATAATAATAAAAAAAATGAAAACAAGTATACATGTAATGAGAAAATTTTTGGTTCTAGTCTTGTGCATAAATTCTATTTGGTTCCCAATTATAGCACGCATTTATGTACACCGTACATAATCCACAAACTCATATCTTAAATCAAATTGTTCTGGCAATAACAAAAAATCAGTAACAAAGTAAATAAGGACAAACACGATATTTGCTGTGGCTTAACAATGATACATGATGAGAAAGAAAGAAAAGTACATTAATCTTTTTTTGACTCTCAAAATCCTAACCTCAACTACACCCAAAACATAATGGAGCTTGAAACTTAAATAATTCAAAACATACTCGATACACACGTACGTATGCATAATGCAATAACCAAACTTATTTTATATGTCAAAGTAATGTAAATTATCATCTATAACATATATTTTCCTTGCTCAGTACACTTTGGAAAACTATACAATTATGACTCTTTAATTATAAAAATTTGCAAACCAAAATTTTTTTACAAGGCCATAATTAAGGGTTTTAATTGAATTTTAATTAACACCCATTCAAAGCATTTTGGAAAGGGGTTGGAATCCAATGGATTGGTGAATTCAAATGGAAAACTTTTTCCTTTATTATTGATCCATAATTTTTGCAGTATGATCAAGACTGGAAGAGAGAGTTCTTCAGCGTTTCAGATATACAAGCCACATTAAGCACAAAAAGAAAGGCTTTTTGTGGATATATAATTGTATGGTTCACTCAATTACAAGTATCTAAATCCAATGATTAGCAGATCAAGTTAATTGAACATAGGACTGACATTAAATATGATTTAAGTGTTTTTCATGCTGAGTGCCTCATAATTGCCTCCCTTCATGATTGGGACACTAGATTCCATGTGCTATGATTGATTGTTGACTACTTTTTTGTTTTTTTTTTTTTGGCCCCCTTAGGATTTGTAATGAGAAAAACAAGCTACCTCACCTTCTAGTGATCTTTCATGATTTTGTCATTTTATAATAATCATAAATTTAACTTATAGCATTCAACATTCAATCTCGTTTCCTTCATTTTATTGTTTTAATTAAAAAGAATATGACTATCGATTACTTAACATGCATGTATTCACTATTATTTTAGGAAAAAATTGTAATCCAAAAAAAATATTAAAATTTAAATTTTAAATTTACGATAATACTCTCACTTTAAAAATGAGAATATAAGCAATTGAACCAAATCATGTTTACAATATTTATGTATGTAGAACATTAACAGTGTTTGACTGAAAATGAGGAAATAAAAAAGGTAAAAAATGCAATCATTTGCATTTAATTTATGGTACTTTCATCAATGGATGGTTCAAAGTTATTGTTGGTTGATGTATTAACATTACATCATGAGATATTCAAATGCATGCTAAGCTAGCTAGGTAAAAGAATTAACATAAAACAAAACCCATAATTTTTAAACTCACCAAGTATATTAACGTGGGGGACAAAATAATTTCCCAACTAAGATGATTAATCATGGAACATGGGGCTAGATTATAGGAATGGAGCCCACCAACATTTAATTTTTTTAAAAGATTATTATTATTATTATTTTCAAATGTTTACCATTTTGGAGTACTATTATCTAAAACTTATTTTGATAATTTCTGATTGTCCAATAAATTAATGCTAACTACTCAAAAATGAATTAATGTTAAGAATTTTCTGTTTTATATTAAAATGAAAAATTGGAATAGTTTTTGAAAATGAAATGCATTATCCATTGTGAAAAAAGATTTTTTTTTTCAAGAATGAACTGTATATCATTCCTTGAATCCACCTAAGAAAAGATATTCTGAGATAAAAAAAAAAGGAATTATTAAAAAAATTAAAGCTATATATATCAATTAATTATTTTAATATTGACAGTCGACATGATTTTATATTTTAAGTTTGTTGGTTTGATATTTGTTTGACGAGATTGATTGGTATTCTGTAATCCCAAAGCTTAAACCTGTTTGAAGCCAAAAAAAAAAAAAAAATCAAATGAAGAAATTTTGACAATTGAAGGCCACCAGCATAGTGACATGTGGGTCCAAAAAATGTTGGAAATTGCACGCATGAGTGATTTTTCCATGCACAACAAATAAAATCAGTCTTCCAAAAGGTTAAGATGAGAGATAAAAAGTGCTTTTTTTTTTTTTTTTTCTATAATTAAAATGATTGATGATGAGTCGGAGCAGATTTTTCTCAAAAGAACAATGCTTTACTTCTTCAGGAATTATTCTTAAATTTCGTTAGGCCATGTTTCAAGTGCTGGACAGTTTGCTTTCATTATAATATAATAAAATCACTTTCACAACAAGGTTGAGTAACTTTAAATCAACCATGATTTCTAAAAATACTTGTATAAGATTTTTTTTTTTTTTCATTTGAAATGAAAAAAGAAAAATTATAGGTGTTTACGTTTTTCTCAATGTATATATTGATGAAATTAAAGACTATAAATAGCAAGCTCTATGAGTAAACACCAAAAAGATTTCAATATAAATCAATTAAAATGGAGGGATTCAAATTAATTGACTAAGTTTTGTTGTCAGGGGAGTCAAAAAGTGTTGCTTTTAAAGAAATCAAAGAATCTGTGCTGGATGGATATGGCAAAGCTTTCATATTTCATATCAGATTAAAAAAAAAAAAAGTAGTAGGAAAACAAACGGAATGTTCACTGACAGAGACAATGCATCATCATGTCTCCAAGAAACTCATATCTCTTTCACATTGGCAGCCCATCGCATTTCTTGTTCTTTGGAAAAACAAAATAATAGGACAAAAAAATCGTAGAAAATATTGTTGTTTATATGTGCAGACTTTATTGAAAATGATTGGTAATCACCTTGAATTTGAAATAATAAAAAATTATAAATATTGAAATTAAAATTTGTAAAAAATATAAATTGGATTTTCTTAAGTTAAATTGGTGACTCTTCTTTTTATTTCTCGAACTTTAATTAAAATGAGATGATAGGTTTAACCTGAATCTTATAATAAAAAATGTTAAATATAATGACATCTTGATTAAATTGGTACAAATTCTACAAATAAATTGCATTTTATATTTTAAGAACCAACTTTCAATTTCTTTATTGAAGTACAACACCCTTGCATTCACACCCAGCGGGCCCAAATCAAGCAAAGTAATATACTTTCACGAATGTCTCCAAAGAACAACGAGGAAAGAAAAATGAAAAAAAAAAAAAAAGGTTTATCTAAAAAGAAGCATTGAACCTTCGTTTCCTCTTCACTTTTTGCACTTTTCCAAATTTTATACTATTCTTTTTTAATTCATCAATCAAGCTTATCACCAAGAAAAAATATAGCATTATTATATTCATCACTACAGCCAAGATAAATCATATCTGCAAACTGATAAACTTTTTACTCAATGGTCAGGTATTCCCATTTTAATGGTGGGAAGCCGCATTATTGATTTTGATCTATATATCCTAACTTCAGAATTATGTTTATAGAAGAAAAGAATAAAAAAATAATGCTTCATGCCTTAATATTTTCTATGTAATTCTTATCATATGCTAACTTACATTATTTCGGTAATGTATTCGCACTACTTCATGAAAATCAACTTTTAGGTAGAGTGAGAAGTTATCATATGTTAGAGGCAAATCTAGTTTTAAAATTAGTGTGTTCATTGACACTTTCAAATTGCAAAAAATAAGAAAATTTGGAAGAAAATTTTTTCTTAAACATTTTCAAATTGTTTCTATGAACACCCCAAATATTGAAAAATAAAATAATTTAAAGAAAAAATTTTCTTGTGAACAAAGTTTCCTTTTACAATTGATAAATCCATTCATAATTTTTTTTATATATATATCACAAACGGACACCTCCAAGAAAAATTTTGAAGCCTTCACTTAACCTTATGACCTAATAAATTACCAAGAACCAGAAAAATGAAACAAAAGGAAGCTGCATCAACATTTGGAAGATGCTTACATTCTAGACCTTAAGTTGAACTAGCAGAACAAAGTTCAATAGAACCATAATCAAGCAACTCCTCTATCATCTGGTCTATATGATCATCTTCTAGTGGAATGAACTGCTGTTCACTCCCCGCCTGATTTTCCTCTCCTTCCCATTTGGTCTCCGGCTGCCGCAGGCAATCCATTTCTTCAATTTTAACCCCGGTAATGCCACAGCTGGGGGCTAAAGGGTGACATTGTGCTGTATAAGTCTCTTTTACTGCATTTTTTTTAGCCAGTTGGAGTGCTGCCATGTGACATTTATGTAACTTAGCTGCCAAGGTAGCTGAGAGAAGCTTTGATGAAGAAGATTGAGGCTCATTGGGATTGTATGGAAAATTGGTTCGTGCTTTTTGCGGACACATTAGCCTTGCCGCCTCATCATATGCTCTTGCAGCATCCTCTGCTGTTTCAAATGTACCTAGCCATATTCTAGTCTTCCTGTAAAAACACAGAGACGTTTCTCTCGTTAAAAAAAAAAAAAATGAAATAATCATATATAAAAACGTTTCTCCTTTAACTAAAAAAAAAACCAAAAGAGAGAAAAGGCTGAAATGTTTGAAGGAGATTACAAGACAGGGTGTCGAATTTCAGAGACCCAGGAGCCCCAATGTCTTTGACGAACGCCACGGTATCGCTGTTGAGGTCTTCCCATGGTGGTTTTTAATGAGAAATGATTCGAAGGATGTTTGGAGAAGTAAGGTGTTTGTTATATGTCTGAGAAAGAACAAAAAAATAAAAAAAAAACAAGCAGAGAAGGAAGGGTGCAAGGGAGAGAAGTCCTGATAATCCTGAAATGGGAGAGTCAAGGCTTAAAGGGGGCTTATATAATCGTCTTTTGCGGCATTCTGAACCTGGTGAATATGATCACCAACGATCAATATAGAATAGGGTCCCACAAATTTTTACTAAAAAAAAAAAATCCTTTTACATGAAAAATTGAAAATTCAGGAACAAATTTTTTCTTCTTCTTTTTCATTTTTGGCTGAGCCTTTTCAACGTGGCCATAAATAATGTCACTAGAAAGGTAGTTTGATACCGCTGTTATTTTTCATTTTCCCTTTTAGTGATGCGATTGGCAGGGCAACAATAGGAATTCATTCATATGTTAAGTGATGTGGGAAATTTTCGAGTAGGGGCATATAAGTAATTTTGTAGATCTTTCATACCATCGTCATTATTATTATTTCTATTATTAGGAAAATGTTTGTTATTATTATCCAGATACATATCAATTACGATTATTACATTATAATTAATTAATAATAATTTATAATTATATAAGATCTAATATGAAGCTCATATTCTATCATATAATTTTTTTCTTTTGCTAACTTTTAATTTCTTTTATATATAATTACAATGCATTTGATATATTTGCATAGTAATAATATACATAATGATCAATTTAAAAATGGGAGGTGTTTGGATTTGTTGTAGTAGTTAGTGGACATAAGTAACGTGGCTCACGTCACATTTACTATATACATAGGAAACCTACCCATATGCCATATTCTAAGGCAAGGACAAACAAACGCACGTTTCATGTAATCTTCAAGCCTCATTCCCATTGCCATTCCTATTCCCTTTTATTCTCTATCTTGCATAATCATGACCATGATTATTATTATTTGAATTAGATAATAAAACTAATTTAATAAAATCACAATAAAAAATATTATATATATAATTAAAAAAGTAACTAAAAGAAAGCACATAAGTTATTTTTGAATTTATTATAATAAATATTAATTTTAAAATATAAACATTTATAATAAAATAATTATAATTTTAAAAATTAATTTACATGTTAAATGAGTAATATTAAATATTATTAATTTTATATATCACTTCACCATAGTTATATAATTTTTTAACCCAATTTTCCATTTTAATGAAAATTGAAAGTGCACTTGTTATCATGAAAACTTTTATTAATTTTTAAGTAATGAAAATATCCTTTAAAATTTATAGTTTTTAAAAGGTAAATTTAAAAAAAATGAAAAACATAAATACTTTAATTTTATTTTGTTATTATAACTTTATGTTGGCTTCTGTTAATTTTCACAACTGATGTCAGACAGTAACGCCAACTTAATCGTATACTAATGTTAGTGTTAAAGCTAGCACTAATCAGTTGGAAGTATTAATTTGGTTTGGTTTATTTAATTTAGATATTAATCGACTAAAAAAATTATTTATTCAATTAATTTGATAGATTATCTATTTTAAAAATTAATAACTGAACAAATCAAACTAATTGGTCTTATTAATTTATTTTTAAATATATTTTTATATAACATAAATACAACATTATTTATATACTATCATTTATTTTATATAATATATAATATAGATGTTAAATAACTTTTATAATAATATAAATAGTATTTTTTTAATAATTAAAATCAATGAAACCAATCTAATTTGATAAATTATTTTACATTCGATAAATGGTTTCAATTAAATTGATTATTTATATATTATTTTAAAATCAATATAAATTCGATAAATGGTTTCGATTATTTTAATTAATCATTTTAATTCATTTAAATTCGATAAATTATTTTAAATGAAATCGATCAATTCAATTTTTAAGAGCAATGCTCTCCCCTAAATAGTACAGATTTTGAATAATAACAGCCGATAACGAGCTTTTATAGATGGACCGGGCAAGCATTTAGCAGTGTTAACTTGGCGGCACGGCCCGATCCTTGTAGCAGAAAAATGAAAACAATGTGTTAAGTGAACAGTGAAAGTTTTTTATTTTTTATTTTGTTTTTTAGATTGATTTGAATGTTTTAAGTTTTCAAAATTTTTAAAATTTTTTTGTGAATTTCTTAAAAATTTATTTTATGGTTTTCATTTTCATGATAATGTAATGATAAAGATTTTTTTTTACATGTTATAATTTTATTGAATATTAATATTACGTTGATATTTTAATTCAAATATTAAAATTATTACAAAATAAAAATTTAAATACTTATGGGTGTTTGTTTTTGTTTTTTTTTTATTTTTGTTTTTAATTTTTTTAAAAATTGAAAATAAAAACATGTTAGATAGGTTATTTTTAATTTTTATTTTTAAAAATTGAAAACAAAGTTTAAAAATTGTTAAAAATAAAAAACTTATTTTTAGTTTTTTAAAAATAATTTAACACTATTATTAGATATTGTTCACAAAAATTACAATTAATAACAGTACAATTATTATATTGACAAAATAATATTTTTATTATATAAATATTATATTAATAAATAATATATTAATATATTGATAAATAAATAATATTATATTATTAATAATAAAAGAAACCTAAAAACTTTAACCACTTTTTCTTGCATATTTTTTTTTATATTTTTAAAGTTCAATAAATTAAAAATAAAATAAAACAAAAAATTTTTAAATATAAAATATAAAAAAACATAATAATTCCAAACGATCTCTTAATTTTAAAATTTATTTTTATAAACATCAAATTGATAAAAATATATAAAATGTGAGTATTTTGTATTTATTCAAAAATTAAATTCATAATAATAATATTTGACCGGTTTATAGAATCAGAATCCGTCACTGCTTCACTGTCTAAACTCCAAACCCCAGATAACCTTTCCCTCCCTTGCCTCTCTTGCTCCTTTCACTTCAACCTTCTTTTCTTTCTCTTCATTTTCCCTCTCGTTTTAACTTCACCAGCTTCTCATTAAAGTGATTGAACCCGAAGCATCCAAAACTGCCGCTAAACCCAAACCCCCCATCAACCCTCACTATCCAATCATGGCTTCCGCTTCTTTGCTCCCGCCTTCAGGTAATTTTCTCACTCTTTTTTAATGCTATATATATTTGGGATTTAAACTTGGGATTAATTCAATCAATTCCCGCACTTTAGCATGGATCAATTGTTGAGGGGTTTTAGTTAACTATTCTGCTTGGATTAGATGAAAAGATGGTTTTTTTTTTGGTTTCGTGTTTAGAGTTCAAAGTTTGTTTTATTTGTTGTTCTTGAGTTCAATTAGCTATTAAGTTTCTGGGTTGTGTCTGTTTGATACCCAGTTTTTGTTGGTTAAGAAGTTCTCTTTAGGTTAGTAATAGATCTACAAAGTTTAAAGATTTTGAGGTTTTTTTTGGAGAAATTGGAGAGATGAAAATGTGGGTTGGTATCAGCCTGTGAATAGGTTTGGGTTTGAACTGAATTTTGTTCCCCAATAGAGTATCTTTCAGGTTCTGTAAGGTTAGTGTTTTTAGACTGATTTTACTGCAATTGTTTGCTTGGGCTGGTTGGTCAACATGGGTTATTTATTTATTTATTTGTATTTTTGGTCATTTTTTAGCTAATTAGAGATGCAAGTTAGATTATGTGAAATTACTCAATGTCCAAGTTGTAGTTTCAGGGACTTCCAGTGAAATTCGTAGTGCAGCAAGTGACATTTCTAGAAGTGGGACAGACCTCAATGCAGAAAATTGTGATTTACATGTTACATCACTGTACAAGAGGAGAAGGATATCTGCCACTACAGATTTTTTGTCACATGATGTTTTGAGAAAGATTGAAGAATCTTTACCTAGTTTTAATTCCCCTGATTATTATATGGAACCTTGCTTGAAAGATATGGCAACAATGGAACTCTTGGATCCTGGTTATTGCAGCCGAGTTCCAGATTTTGTTGTTGGAAGATTTGGTTATGGATGTGTAAAATTCTTTGGAACAACTGATGTTAGAGGGTTGGATTTAGATCAAATTGTGAAGTTCCGTAGGCATGAGGTAATTGTATATGAAGATGAACGTAATAAGCCCATGGTTGGTCAAGGCCTTAACAAAACTGCCAAGGTAACTTTAAGACTTAAAATTGAAAATATAGACTTGGAAAAGCAGGAGGTAGATGGTATTGTTAAGAAATTAAGAGAGAGTATGAGGAGGCAAGGGGCACAATTCATTACATTTGACCCTGCAAATGGTGAGTGGAAATTTTTGGTTGACCATTTCAGCAGATTTGGATTGAGTGAAGATGAGGAGGAAGATATTTTAATGGATGATGCAACAGGGGTTGTCCAAGATCCTGGGGAAATTAATGGTGGTGGGAATTCTGAGATTGATGAAGAAATGCAAATGGATACTAATGGACCACTGCTTTCTCATTCTCTGCCTGCACATCTTGGGCTGGACCCAGTGAAGATGAAAGAAATGAGAATGTTAATGTTTCCTGTTGAGGAAGAAGAGGAGCTTGAGGATTTTAGAGGGACAGTTTCTAATCGGAAACAAGCCTTTGCCAAAGAATTTATAAGGTCTCCTTTGCTTAACTCTAACCAAAGGATGGGCCATAGGTCTAGCCCACCTGTTGTACGGAAAACTCCAGTTGCTTTGCTTGATTATAATTCTGGTACATTTGGTTCAAACTCATCTGGAACCGTTCTGATGACACAAGAAAATAAGGGTATGCCACTAAAGACAATAAAAAAGGAAGGTTTCAAGCTGGACATCAAACAAGAGACACCTGTCACTAGAAGCCATTCTCGCAACATAGTTGATGCGGCATTGTTCATGGGCAGGTCATTTCGTGTAGGTTGGGGCCCAAATGGCATTCTTGTCCACTCTGGTGCACCTGTAGGAAGTAAGGACACCCAGAGAGTATTATCTTCTGTAATCAATATAGAAAAAGTGGCAATTGATAATGTAGTTAGAGATGAAAATAACAAAGTAAAGAAAGAACTTGTTGACTTTGCTTTTGATTCTCCATTGAATCTTCACAAAGCTCTAAACTATGAAGAAAAAGAAGTGGAAGTTGGATTCTTTCAGTTGAAGCTTCTAAATGTTGTCTGCAATCGCTTAGAGCTTTCAGAGATTTGTAGAAGCTATATAGACATTATTGAGAGGCAGTTGGAGGTTCCTGGTTTATCTTCTTCTGCTCGCTTGGTTTTGATGCATCAAGTAATGGTCTGGGAATTGATAAAAGTTCTTTTCTCGGAAAGGGAAAATACCAGCCAACTGAAATCAATGGGTGCTGATAATGAGGAAGATATGATGCATGATATCAAGGAAGGTCTTCCAGAAGTTGACCCAGAAGCACTTCCTCTTATTAGGAGAGCAGAGTTTAGTTGTTGGCTACAAGAAAGTGTATGTCACCGTGTCCAAGAAGAAGTAAGCTCTGTGAATGATTCAGGTTACTTGGAACACTTATTCTTTCTCTTGACTGGGCGACAACTGGATGCAGCTGTGGAGCTGGCTGCTTCTAGAGGAGATGTGAGACTGGCTTGTTTACTAAGCCAGGCTGGCGGATCAACAGTTAATCGTTCTGATGTTGCACAGCAACTTGATATTTGGAGAATTAATGGACTGGATTTCAATTTCATTGAGAAGGGCAGGATTCGGCTTTATGAGTTACTTGCTGGTAATATTCATGGTGCTTTGCATGGTATTAAGATTGACTGGAAGAGATTCTTAGGATTGTTAATGTGGTATCACCTACCTGCGGATACTGCATTGCCTGTTGTGTTTCAAACTTATCAGCACCTTCTTGATGGTGGAAAAGCTCCATTTCCTGTTCCTATTTACATTGATGAAGGACCGGTAGAAGAGAATGCAAATTGGAGTAGAGTGGAAAGATTTGATCTTTCATACTATCTTATGCTTCTGCATGCCAGTGAAGAGAGTCAATTATGCTCTCTGAAGACGATGTTTAGCACCTTCTCTTCAACACATGATCCACTTGACTATCATATGATCTGGCATCAGCGGGCTATCTTGGAAGCTATTGGTGCTTTCCATTCTAATGATCTTCAAGCTCTTGACATGGGACTTGTATCCCAGTTACTATGCCAGGGGCAATGCCATTGGGCTATCTATGTAGCCCTTCACATGCCTTACTGTGATGAGTATCCTTACCTTCAAGCTATTCTTATCAGGGAAATTTTATTCCAATATTGTGAATCTTGGAGTTTACATGAATCACAACGCCAATTTATTGAGGACTTAGGTATTCCATTGCAATGGTTGCATGAAGCTATGGTATGTTATTGGTTTTCTAGATGTATTTTTGCTCTAACTTTGTGTATCTGAAGCCTTTTTTTTTTTTAAACTTCTTATTGTTCTAGCCTGATTGGTATTCTATGTTAACATTCAGAGCTTTGCGTGTACATTATATGCTCTATGTGGGTTAGATCCATCACTAATTTTACATTCTTAGCTTAGTGGCAGAATATCAGTATCCTGGTTGAGTGGCATCTTTAAATCTAATCTTTTTTTTGAAGATGAACTCTTTTTAAAATTACTAGCAATCTTGATTTGTCCTGCTATATGCTCATCTTTGTATCTGTGTCCATGTGTGGATGTATGCTGTGAGAGAGAGAGAGAGCTCTGAAAGTTTCTTTGGAAATTGAGTTTTGTTTCTCATTGTGAAAACTTTCCTCTTATGATGCAGGCAGTTTATTTCAATTACCATGGGGATTTGCCAAAGGCTCTTGAGCATTTTCTGGAATGTGCTAATTGGCGAAAAGCTCATTCTATTTTCATGACTTCAGTAGCTCATACATTGTTCTTGTCTGGTAAGATCTTATAGCAAATTAAGTAATTCATATGTGCCTTCTGAGCTTTGTTATCCTGTTATCTCAATTTTTATGCCTTGTTGATTGACTTTAAACCAAATTCAAGGCCTCTCCTTTCTGCAGTAAAAAAAAAAATGATATTAAAATTTATAATACATCACAAATGATTACCATGTTGTGGTCTACCGAATTTAATTTGTTTAGACCTCAAAGGAATTTTGTCTATTATGGATATGGTGAAACACAGCATAGCATGATAGAATCACATCCGAATCTTCTTTTCTCTATAAACATTATAGACGTATGGCTCCCTCAATTTGCACTATTTTGAGACTTAAGAGTCATGTACATTATAGATGCTCACTAACTTTTGGGATCAATCTTAGTCATTTAAATTTGTTTTGAAAAACCAATTTACATTTGAATTTTTTTTTTGGGTTATTCATACTCGATTAAAGAATGTGAATGCACAATTTTGGGCCATTGAAGAACTGATTAGTCTCAAATACTGTCGATATTGTTGGGCCAAGTCTTTTATTTTTTCTTCAATGCAGCCAATCACTCAGAGGTATGGAGGATTGCAACATCCATGGAGGACCACAAGTCAGAAATTGAAAATTGGGACTTGGGAGCTGGAATTTATATTTCATTTTATGTCCTAAGAAGTTCATTGCAGGAGGATAACAGTACTATGGGTGAACTGGTAAGAAACTGATGCCAATCATCAAGGCCATAGAATCTAGATCTGAATATAGGCTAAAGCTTGTTGGATGCTTCATTTATTATTGAATCATATCCTTCCCGTTAATGTATCAGTTGTGAATTACAGCTGCCCGTTTATGGGTTTGTGATGAGTGCAATCCTTAGCCTCAGTCATGTTTTTCCTGCTAGATCACTTCTAAACTATGGCTTCATCTTAATGGGGTAGCCACTTCAAGCAAAGTGCAGCATGACTAATATGCAATACTTTGCCTTCCAATACTGCCATGCTAATAAGCATGGATCTGCCTAGTTAAACCTTGGTTCCAGAGGCATTACTTCATTTGCCTAAAGGGACTGGTGCTACTGCATGATGTGTTTTGGGGGAAGTGAATTTTGAATTATGGCTGCTGGTCATGTATACTCTTTTTCTTTGATGCTTTTAAAAGAATTTTTGCTTAAAGGCTACATTGCTGTTGGACAATGTTGCATGCTAGAATGTTACTTATGTTAACATAAGTGATAGTTGAAAAGCTTAAAGTTTGTAAGCTGAAAGAAAATTGTGTAATATCATCAAACTTGATTTGAGCTCTTTCTTTTTACAAGTGAATGCTGATGATTATGTTGATGCATTTTTCAGGATTCCCTTGACAGCAAAAATGCAGCTTGTAGAGATTTTCTTGGTCGTTTGAACGAGTCTTTGGCAATTTGGGGTGGCAGGTTACCTGTTGATTCAAGGTATTTATGTTAATATCACTTCATATTTTTGTCTGTAGATAGATAGATAGATAGATCACGTTTGAATATAGAATGGAACTGATCACATTGCCAAGTTTTAATTCAAAATCTCAGCTTGTGATTGCACTAAGTTCGATTATTATCAGCCAAAATCAAAACACAAGGTACCAAGCAGATAAGGACAAGCTTAAGGAAATAATTCCATTCATTTTTAATCTTCCTGTAATTAAAAGAGGTACAAATGGAGAGACTCAGTTCTTGTATTGAAAGGTATTAACTAGCTTAGCTGGTAAAGTGACTAAAATATACTGCCTAGTGCCTGAACGATCTGCCTAGGCTGGCTAATTCATATAAATACCTTCCCTTTGAATATATCCGGAAATACAATGACACCAAAAAAGTTCACATGAAATTATTAGAAAGCTAAATTTAAAAGAAACGTGAAGTGATTCATAGAAACAATAAAAGGGGTTGTGCCTTTAATTTCTTTTTACATGTAGCATCCCACTTGGGGAGCATATATGTTCAATGCTTTATAGTGATTGATATATAACCTTTTTTTTTTTTTAATGAAACTATGGTGCAGGGTGGCTTATTCAAAGATGGCAGAGGAGATGTGTGATATGCTGCTTTCTGATATGAGCGAGGGTCCAACGCGTGATGCCCAGTTAAGCTGCTTTGATACCGTCTTCAGCGCTCCCCTTCCTGAAGATCTTCGTTCAAATCATTTGCAGGATGCGGTTGCACTTTTTACTTGCCATATTTCAGAAGCCCCTTGATGTTGGATTGTTGTGATTTTGGCTTTGTGTGCGTGTTGTAAAAGTTGGGCATTAATTTCGTAGCAACCTTCATTTTTGTATTTGTGTTTTAGTATGTAGTTCCATCCAGTGAATAGATATAAAAACCGTGTTGGAAGCGCTAACCTAGTTGAACTTGAAAGCCAGTTGGAAAGTGAAAACATGTACTAGTATAGATTTTTCATTTTAAGCTAACTTTTGTTATCTTTGGCAAGATCATGGTAATGTAATCGTTGGAAAGATTTTAATATTTTTTATTTGAAATTATTTTATTTAGTTAATAATCATTAATTATTAAGAATTAAAGATTATTATATTTGATATTATTAAAAATAAAAATTATTTTGTTTTAAAATATAAAAATAATTATATATATTATAATAATTACATATATTAATAATTTTAAGATTGTTTAAAGATAAAATTTTATAAAATATTGATAGTATTTATTTATTTATTTTATAATAAAATATAATTAAATAATTAAATAATATATATTTATTGATAGATAAATTAATTTTTATAATTTAAATTATGTAAAAAATATTTAAGTTAAAAAATAAAATTAATCTACTAATTTTATAATAAAAATAAAAAATTATATTATATAAATGTTAAAAATAAAAAAAGAATTAATTATTTTTTTGAATTTATTATAATAAATATTAATTTAAAAATATAAAAACTTATAATATAAGATATAATAAATTTTTAATTCACATATTAAATAAATAAAATTAATTATTTTAAATATATATTATTTTATCTGATTAAAAATTAAATTATTTTTTAAAATAATAATTTAATCACTTTCAATGATATAAAATTATCATATAAAATCACTTAATGCATATCAAATATAATCACTTAATCATTATACGAATATCATTATAATTTTTAGAGTGACCCCCGATTCGAAGTACGTGCAAAAGCAAAAGGTGGAAAAGTATAAAGTAAAAAAGAATACAGAAGAGAACAGCCGTCAGCCAGCGGCCAAGGTGGGCAAGTTGCAACCTCCTTTTTAAGTTTTAACAGCTAAAGTCAACAGTAATTTTCGTTTTTTTCCTTAACAAAAGAAATTAAGACGGTAGTACTAGATTTCCTTTCACACTTCAAATCCTTAAAAATACCAAACCAAATCAACCAATCAAAACAAACCAACAAAGCCAATTTGTTTTCATAAAAAAGTAGTAATTATTATTCTTTAATAAACATTCTCTTGCTAGGAGGCTATATAAATAGTAGAGAAGAAGTGGGTGAAAAAAATATAGTAATAAAGGCCAATTGGCGTTAGCCATATTATTAAGCTAATTGTTCTTTTTTTTTTTTTTTGAGCGACGAAGCTTCCATTTTTTTGTTTATGATGCGTCGCTCTGCATCCAAGAAAGCGGGTCAACCCAATTCAACCAATCCGATTCCTTATTCTCCCTCCGATCTCTTTCGCACCGGTACTCCCCCAACCCCTCCTCTTTTTTTTTCTTGCTTTTCTTTATGTTGTTTCAAAATTTTGATTGCTAAATATATTATTTTTGTTTTTTAATTCTCTGGTTGATTTTTGTAAAATGATTTAATTTTTGCATAATTTGTGTTCATAATTAAGATTCTGTAATTTTGGTGGATTTAGTTGATAATGATTAGCTATCAAGAAAAGTGAATCGAGTAAAAGGATTGGGGGTTTAGTTGTGAAATTAATTCTCCAAAAAAATGATAGACAAGAAATGGAAAATGAAGGACAAAAATCCTTAGATCCTTAGATAGGATACGAGGAGATAAAAGTTTGGCGTTTGAACTTTGAAGAGAACACAACATGTCAATCTTGAGGCTAGGTAATAGGTTAAGTGCATTCTTTAAGGTAGTTAACTCTTAAAAGCGTGGTGGAAAATCATGGTTTTGTAAGAGAAGTTGAAAATTCGAAAGAAAATCCTTTAGCATAATTGAGAAGAAATTCTGTTGCATCTATGATCTACCTGTTGAAAGATGGGGCTTCTAGGCTCGGATTCAACATAGTGGAAAATCTTCCTCTGCCGCGGGTTCATTTTAGAACTATAGGAACGTTAGAGTTACAAAATCTAATCTGTTAAAGCAAGCATTTGCTCCAACCAAGGATGCCAATCATGATAACCCTAATACATTTTCCTCAAGATACTACTAACCATAGTTCAACTTGGTCTTTCATTAACATGTAATTTACCTAAGCCTACCCTAAATGATGATATAAAGCTCCTAATCCTTGAATGAAAGTTGAGACCTCATTGTAGAATATGTAGTTAGAATGCTTTCACATTATTTTTCAAATTTATTAGCTATGCTGTTCTAAGATAGTGTAAGTAATGAGTTGACACTCTGTTTTATATTTCTCAGCTTCGAGTAAGGCATCTTCAAAAGAGATGGAACGGATTGACAACCTATTTTATTCTTATGCCAATAGGTCTTCTGGTATGATTGAGTAAGTTCTTAGTGGAATATGCAATTCAATTTGTAATTTCGTAGTTTTGGTATTTACCTTGACTCCTTGAGTAAGGGCCAATAGGTCTTCTGGTATTTACCTTTGTAACTATGGAAAATTTCATTGGTATCATATGGATTTTGATGTTTACTAGTTTGTTACATCAACCATTTTTCAGATAATTTTGCTTCTTAAAATTTTGTAAATTTCAGTCAATATCCTCGAACTTACAAATTTTTGTGTGTTAATTTTATTTAGTAGAACTACTAGAGTGATCAATCCATATGAAATTTTGTTCACTTATATTCCATATACATATCAGCGATCCTAGCCCGTCTGAATATATGGGCTTTTGCAAGTATAGTCCAGTCTGACTGATATAATTTACATGACATGGGCCACTTCCCCGTTGATGAAATCTGAAATTATTGCTTGTATCAATTTATGTAGAGTGTAATTTTGCTTGTATCAATTTATAGAATGATTGGATGATCAACTACTCCAAAAGCTAACAATTCAAGCTAACTGGTTCTATGCACTAGCTAAGTCCCTCTGTTGCTCGGACTCGGTAGAGAGTGCCGAATATGGATATGCCTCCAAGCTCCAGAAAGGATAAATACCATCCTTTTTAAGTTTTCCCTTGCAAGGTTGGAACTCTGTACTTATTTATGTCCATTAGATGTGTCAGACATTGATACTTTAAGGATGTTGAAGAGTTAGAGCAACATAGAATAGAAGAGCCTAGATAATGATGGATAAGTTGTGGGGGTCATGCACTAAAATTAGTTAACTTTACTCTAGAAATCCGTAATACTGTGTAAAGACTCACTGCACAGCTAAAATAAGGATGTTGAAAATTGAATTACAATTTTTTTTAAATTTATAAAGTGATGGTTATTCATAATTAGTATCATCATTACAGAAACTAATGTTTTTCTTGACTATTTTGAAAGCATTATAATATTATGATATGTTATTTGAACAGCCCAGAAGGGATTGAAACTCTATGTTTCAATATGGAAGTTGATCACACAGATGTTAGGATCTTGATGCTTGCTTGGTAAGTATCATATAAACTTGTTTGATGACTCAATTTTAACTTTTATCCTAAGCTTTTGAGTTGAAGCTATATCTGCATTTGTCAGGAAAATGAAAGCTGAAAAACAAGGATACTTTACCCTGGTAAGGATTTTTGTTGTACCATCTCCATTTACTTGTATAATTTTAACCGTTAGTGTTATCTATTATATTTCCATTGAACAACATTGCTATTAGGTTCCATGTCCTCTGATTTTATTTCTTCTTTGTCAAGGTGCAGTCATATAAAATAATCAAGTTTATATTCTCTCCTTTTAGGTTGACTTCAGCATGTAGGTTGTATGGGGATGCCTGAATTTCTGTTTTCATCTATTATTTTGTTAATTGCCATTTTTTTGGTCTTGAGTGGAAATCATTTTCATAAGTTTCCATTCTCTGTGATTTGGTCATGATATTTGGAGTTGTGAAAATATGTTAAGTTTTAGTGGAAAAAAAAAAGTTTTGTAACATGACTTTCCTTTTTTTTTTTTGTGAAATGAAAAAACATTAAGTTTTGTAGACAGGAGTTTCTTCTTCCTAAGACAGTTATGATCCTCATTGAGAGTATCATGATAGCTTGGATATATGTTGGCTGATGCATTATACTGTGTATTGATTAATTATTGGTTCCTTAAATCCCAAGCTCTCTCTTTATATATGTGTATATGTATTTGTATGTTTTTATACATGTTTGTCGTTAAATTATCTGTTGAAAATGACATTTAAATCTTATCTTTATAGGAGGAATGGCGCAGAGGATTGAAAGCACTGAGGGCTGACACTGTAAGTAAATTAAGGAAGGCCCTCCCAGAGCTAGAGAAGGAGGTAGAAAATTGAGAACATCTTGATATATGAAAGCATGTTTAATATGAATGATAATTATGCTGGAAAAGTCCGTAAAAGTGCTGATGTTCTCTTTTCATATTCAATAGGTCAGGAGACCATCAAACTTTGTGGATTTCTATTCCTATTCATTCCGCTATTGCCTGACAGGTATTTCGATAATATCGTGGCTTGTGTTCTGGATGTCTAAACACTCTTTTTTTCTCATTGAGCTCCTGCTTACTTTCTCAAATTTATTGCTGCAGAGGAGAAACAAAAGAGTATAGACATAGAGAGCATATGTCAATTGCTGGATATTGTTTTAGGATCCCAATTCCGTGCGCAGGTTGACTATTTTATTGAGTATTTGAAGGTGGGTTGCGAGAATTATAGCATTTTACGTCAGAGATTGCAGCTGCTTATGTTTTATGTTCTTGATTTCCTGGATGTTACCATTTATACATGCACATCTTCTTATGTTATTTTGGGGAATGAGTTCATTTCAGTTTTAGCTGCGAGGATTCTGTACTATAAATGTTAAAAAAAATTCTTTGTAGTCTATTTTAAGATTGGGCAACATTGCTATACTGATGGGCCTTTCAACATTTGCGGTAGAAAATAGGGTCAATCTTCTGACTTATAGGTTTGTAGAAATGAATCTAACAACTTGATAGGCTAGATTACAGAGAAAAGTTGCTCATTATGTGATGCTATATTTCTAAACTTACCCTTCTATCTTAACCTCAAAAAGAGGAAGAGAAAATATTTCTCCTACTATGCTTGTGTTGTTATTGCAGATTCAGAGTGATTATAAAGTCATAAACATGGATCAATGGATGGGCGTTTTCCGATTCTGTAATGAGGTACATCACAGTTTATCCTTGTTATGGAATTTCTATGGTGTTTCTGAAATTTAAATGCTCCATAACAAAAAATAGGGTCAGTGAATAATTCTGTACACATTTCATAAGGTATGCTCACACAGACACAACCTAATGAAAAAAAAAAAAAATCTGGAGTGAATTATACCAATATCTTTCAAATAACATACTTCTTAGTAAAGGGGTAACCGAGAATGTGATGCCCTGCTCACTGCTTGACAACACAGAGAATGACTTTCTTTGGCATAAAAATTGGGACAATATAAATAGTAGAAACTATTGATCTTTTCAGTTCTATATGATAAATTATGGGTCGATGCAAATTACAATTCAATAGTTAATTTAGATAATACAGTAATTTTTTTTTTTTTAATTTATCATCTGAAAAGAGATGGAGGACAAGAAAGGAAAAGGATAAAATCTTGTAGTTCTAGCGAAAAATTCTCATTCATCTTGTACACTCAATTGCTACTTGCATGCTTGAACATTGTTTGGCATAATAACTTAGTTATCAGCCATTTGTCTTGTTGGAGATCCACCTGTTAATAATTCAGCCAGTGTTTAACTTTTTTCCTTTTTGATATTTTGACAGATAAGTTTCCCAGACCTTAGTAATTATAATCCCGACCTTGCTTGGCCGTTGATCCTGGACAATTTTGTAGAGTGGATGCAGGCGAAGCAGAGCTAAAATCTTATTTGGTTTAGTCAACTTGATTCTCAGCAGTAAACTCCACCAGTATCAAAGCAGGTGCTTTTTAAAGTCCAAACCCTCTTCCTTTTCTTTGTTCCCTTCTTCTATAGCCTTGCATGAGTTTTTTTTTTTTTAGGGCAGGGGGGGTGGGGTGGGGCATTAATAAGCCGACTTGAAAATTTGTCTAAGTGTGCCATTCTTTAATCAAAATTATTGTGAATAATTTTTTGTCAGGAATGTTCAAATTGTGGAACCATGCTTCTCCAGCTGCTTTTTATATCATTTTACTTCAGAATGTTAAAGTCTTCTCAGAAACTTGCCTTCCAAAATTACATCTTCTTGTTACAAATATTATGCAGACACTCAATATATTGAATTGTATTTCTGTTATGGTGTTCATCATTAATACTTCTAAACTGTGCCCAACTAGATTTATTATAATAATTTGCCTTGATCTTCAAAGCAGATGGATTGTGATATTATATTATGGACAAAACTATTTATTAGATTACAAAGATGTTAGATTTGTCTGATTTTTATTTTGATTTATCTCATTTATATAAATTCAGCCACACTTTCGAAGGGGTGCTTTTTTCTTGCATAGAATATCTTGGCCGAAATAACAACAATTGAATACATGACAAAATCTCCCTGCAACTGGTTCCCCTGTCTCCCCAGTCTGTTGTAACAGGTGTTGGCTTCATTGCAGTCATGCCTGAGCTAATGATGCCAAGCACCTACAACCATTGAGGATGATCCTTAAAGGATGGATTGTAGCAACCATTTTCTCTTTTATCATATCATCTGCTCTTTGAAAGTCAATTTCATCAACCAAATTGGTAATATTCTTTCAAAGAGCTCTGTAAAGACCATTCTCATTGCCAGGTATATCACAAACGCTGCTGTTTATGTGCCTGTATTGGACAGCCATCCACAGCCAGCATTTTAAGTTAAAAACAAATTTCTTAGGGCACCACCAAGCAATCTGCTGGACATCAAGTTTGGTAGGCATGGTGTGGATTTGAGCAACTTCATCAAGGAAATGTACTTTTTAAAGTGTGTCATTGTGCTATCACTGTTCCTGTATTGGATTAGCTCTGCCAATTCTTTGCATGAAACGTATCTGATAGAAACAGCTCTGTCTTATGCTTGATAGTTACATATCACTATAAAATACATATCATGCCTGTGAAAAGGGCCTTACATTTGTCATGCTTCTCATGGACAAGCAAACTTTAGGTAACCTTTTGGAGCATATGATTTGGATTTAACCAAATGCAAAGTCATACATAAGTTGGATGCTTTTCCTTGTTGCCATATATCTGCATATATCCATTTCCTTTTAGACAGGTGTGGTCATCTCACTGGGACTAAAATCTCATGGTCTACTTGTGCTGGAAAGTTTGCCATTTATTCGTTTCTGATGAGTGTTTGATGTTTGAATGAAAAGAAAGAATTTATTTGGAGCATTTGGGTGGTTGGAATTTTTTAAGGCTGCATTTTCTTCTAAGCCAACTAACAATCAAGCAGAAATCATACTATGAAAAAAGTAGGTCATTAGCTCCTAAGCATGTTTTGGCTAAAGATTTTTCCTTTGAATAAAAGCTTGACCAGGGACCTATGGCCAATTGGTGGAATCGGTTTTCGTTTGGTGTTGAGTTGAGCCCAAATTATATCTGTTTGCTTGTAACCGTAGTTTTGCCAAAATAGGGCAAATGCTATAGCAGTGCTGAAGTATTGGTGCTGGTATAATAATGTTATAAATAAGCTGAAGTAAAAGGGTACTAATATCCTTCAATTATGAAAGTGTGCAATGGTATAAAAGTGTTTGTTGGACTTTCTTTTTTTCTGGTTATGGAATTTTGTAATTAAATTACATTAATAAAATCTCTTCAAACCTTTTTAAAAAAAAAAAGAAAAGAAAAAGAATGTGATCTTAGTACATATGGACATGAGCAAATTATGTGCCAACTCCATGATAGGCACTTTAGAAAAAAGATGATTCCAAGAACCTTTAATGATGCTAAAGAACTATTCTTCCCAACAAAATTTTACTGATCTCATTAATTTTTTTTTTTATATAAAAGATCAAATTATAAAAATTTTATAAGTATTAAAATTTAATTTTTAAATTTATTGAATATTATTTTTAAAGATAATTAAATGAATTAAGTAAACTAAATGTCGTATTCACAAAGCGCTAAATCTTGGCGAAGAAGTCAATGATTCCAAAGCATAACGTGGGTCGTGGGATACATGTTTGAGGGAACTAAAGTTTGGTAAGATAACCTATGCTTTGGGAAAAAGCTAAAGAGACCAAAAACAGCTATGAAAAAGCATAAAAGTAGAAAAAAAATGAAGAGTGCTTTGTCATCAATGAGTCAAATGTTGCTTTCAATTTTGAGCAGTATCCAGAGAGAAAAAAAAAAAAAGAAGCTAAGTTCAACATATATCAAATCAAATAAAGTGACAACAATAGATTGAAATTGATTCGATGCTTCCTTCTTTTTGCCATCTAAGCATACGAGCATCGCATGTAATAATTGAGTACAGGGTCAATCAAAATTGAATAAAATATCAAATCAAGATTTACATTTCACTTTTCAGCAAATTGAAATCTCCATTGATCTATTATTATTTAGGAGCAGGACTCTGATTTTCCTTCAAAAAAATTGAACTTCACATAAGGTGCATAGCTCATAGACTTATAGTGGAAATTAAATTGCTTTTTTTTTTCTTTTTTACCCTTATGCTTCTGTTTGTTTTGGTAAGTACCAAAATGATTAAAGAAAATTGAAACATTTGGTTTGAAACAATAATATTAGCGACTTGGTTGATTGATGACTGGATCAAATTACATAGTTTTGCATTGGAAGAAGAAGGGGGTGTAGGGTAATGAACATGCCATACTTGAAGGGAACAATATTTTGTGGCTACAAGAAAAGCAAGAAAAGGAGATGATGTTAGATGATATTTGCGGACACGAAACATCATTTGCCAAGAAAATTGATAACATACACATGTGATGTACAGATATCATGCCTGCAAGATTTCTCAAGACAATGTTAGCATCATGAATTCACCAAGAAAAAATAATGCAAAAGTTAAAAAAAAAATGATTAATAATTTGCTTTGAGCATTTGATTCAGTAAAAGCTGTCCCAAATGTAGATCATCATCAAGGTGATGAAGGAGCAAGAATCATAGGTGAAGGTGGGGGAAGTGAACGTCTGCTTCTGCTTCTACCCCGAGTTTGGGTGATTGAGGGAGATGAATTTGAAGAGGAAGAAGAATTTGAAGAAGATGTGAATCTGTTAGACTCGCTTGTCAATTTCTTCTTTTCTCCTTCACATGGCTTATCTTCAATTCTATGGTGACGCTGGACTATTTTGGTTGCATTTAAAGTCACTGGAAGAACACAGTTGCAGAAGAATCCTACAATTAACAACACATGACAACATTCAATTATACATTATCCTTTAAAATGAATGTTTTTACATAAATCAACAGAATTCAGGTTCTGCATTGGCTCAATTCACTTTCAACTATCTCATTTACAAAAGAAAAAGAGAAATCAAATGACAGTTGGTATGCTGAAAAAAATGAAATTACAAAAGAAAAAAAGTTACCAATTCTAGCAAGGCGATTAACCCAACTTGGGATTGGATTGCCAGTCAACCTGATGCAAGCATCATTGCAGAAATGGTTACAGTTTTTGGTGATTAAATTGTAGGCATTTCCTTTGTACTCCTCTGCTAAATCCTCCATTACTCCCCTCACATCTGCAGGCCCCAAATCCGTTTTTCCAATCAAAATTGATTTCCTAAACGTGAACCCATCACAATGTTTTGGTTCTGCTTCAAATATTCCAGTTGTTGGATATTCATGAGCTCCATACGCATACTCAACCCCATGAACTGCCCCCAAACAAAAACAACAAAACACAAATTCAGCAGATTTGTATAAAAAAAAAAAAAAAAAAAAAAAAACTACCCCAAGTCTTTTTCTTCAACCTCACTTCAGTCAGCTAAGGTTTCTGTTTTTTCATGGATCTAACATCATACATAACTACCCTTTTAACATCAATGAACACCAAACCAGATTTCAGACAACTTAAGTACCGATAGATCTAACTTCTATAAGTAGAAGAAGTACAAAAACATATAAAACAAGTAAGAAACAGAAGGAATGTTCATGGTACCAAGAAAACTAACCTTGAACACCAGAATGATAAACCCCAAGTCCAAACCAATATGCATAGCCATTAATTGGTGTTAGATCATACACATTGAGATACACTGGTACTGATCCTGTCTCCTTGCAACTCGAATTTTTTCGACACAACATCTTTAACTTCTTCAAACAAACCAAAATCAACCTTAGTACTTAGGCTATTTTTTTTATGTGATGAAAATGATAGTTAATGAATAAGATTGCTAACGGAATATAAAAAAAAATTAATGTTTCTTCTTCAAAAAAATTTTAATATAAGGTTTTGATTTTTAAAACTCTGAAATCTGGGAAAGAGAATGAGAATCTTCTGATTATGGGCACCATCGGCGGCAGACAGTGCCGCACCGGAATTTTTTTATTTAGGCTAAGGTTGATATATAAAATCCTGGGTTTGAATAATAGGGCTTGGAGTTTTGAAAAAATTACGAGGATTGCCATTGTGAGATTTGTTTAAGAAAATGAAAAAGGGGTATCATATTATATTATTATGGTTATTAATTTTATGTTCTATAGTTTTTTTTAAAAGAAAAGGAATGACTTTTCATGATTTTATTTTAGGTGCACACATGGAAGATGGGACCTGCCTCATGAGATGATATTGATTAACATATGATTCTAATTAGGATCGATCGATTAAAGATTTAACTTAATTTGTTAGTTTGTTTGGCTTGACAATAATTTTTAATATAAATTTTACTAATAATTCTTTGTTGGTGATAATTTCAAAAGTATGAAATCTTTGACGTGAGATTTGTTTATGTCATCTCGAATTTTTATATGAAAAACTTGAACTTAATTTTCTTAGTTAGAAAGACATAAGGTACAATTTGTAATTTTTCATAAGGAAAAATTAACTCCATAAAAATAAATGGTTGTGATAAAAAACATAATTGGTGGATATGGTCAAAGATAAGTAAAGCATAAGAAAGTAAAGAGAATAAGGAAATGGTTGCATATATGATTTAAATATCTTTTTCATATTTTTTGGATGATGATATGACAAGTTAAATAGGTAATTGAGTATATTGAAGTCATGTGTGGACATTGATAATCTGATAATCAAAATGTTATCAATGATGAATTTAAAATTTTTTTTTGAATGTATACACTTATAAAAAAATATTAAAAAATTATAAATAAATTTATCAATTTTATATACGTAAAAAGCATTTAAAAAGTTTTTTTAATTGTTCAAGAAAAAAATTTCTATTAAATTTTGTTATTTTTCAGTCTTTCAAAGTGTTCATGAACTCTAATTCAAAATATGGATTTACCTTGAGTGATGATGACTGACCACTCAGGTATAACAGTACGAAAAATCAAGGAAAAAGAAAACCTTGACTATTGGGTATTTATTGTGTAAATGTGTTGCTAAAGTCATATATGGACCGTTAGAATGATTTTGCCCCAAGACTGAGGTAGCTATAAGTCAAGCAATAGCGTGCTTTACACTTTAAAAGGCTAATTTCCAAGACATTTGGTAAGAATTAAGAAATAACTTTGAAATTGTAATGTTGACTTGGTTGCGTCATTATAGGCTGCCATGGTATACATGAGCAACAAAGTAAATCACATAAAAATAATTAAAGCTATCTACTACTACAATGATTTAAAATTTTAATCTTAATTTTATGGGAAGGAAATTTTTTGACCAAATTTCTTTATTAAATTTACTAATCCTATATTGATTTTATTTTTCCTTTTTTTTTTTTGAATAGGATTTGACTTTTCTTTTATTTGATTAGTTTAGAGTAATTAGTATTTAAGTTAGAGTATTAAAAAATATATTGTTATATTATCTAGAATACAAAATAAGTCTTACACTATTCCAAATTTCTGATAAAAATTTTTGTCATTTTATTATATTCATATAAACTTTTATTTTATAATTTTTACTTAAAAAATACTAAAAAAATTTTATACTGATAAAAAGATATCATACACAAGTATGACTTTGAAATAATATGTCTAAGCTTTAGCTAATTATTTTACAAGCTTTATACTAAAAAAAAGTTTAAAATTATCAAAGCCTACACTTGCAATTTCTAAAAAAAAAAAAATCACAAAACAAAAAGGATGAGAACGTTGACAATCAAAGTTACATGTCTATATTTTTATATTTGATATATTATCAGTAAATCGAATGATATCAATTCATTAATAAACAAATATAAATTTTTAAAAGAAATATATAAAAATTAATATTTTTTAAAAATATTTACTCATTAATAAGATAATATTATCTTATTCATTTTATTAATAATATGATATTATCTTATTTACTGACAGTGTATAGAATTTATACACTAATAGTGTATCAAATATAAATCCTTTATATGTTGCATTTAGTAAAGGTATAATTACATATATATATATATATATTTGATACTCAAACTATAATTAAATATTTGATTAGGTAATTAAACTTTGCCTCAATCTATTTTTGAGAAAATAAAGGCTTTTTGATTGCTATAAGTAAAAGTGAATAAAATTGCACAATATCAAGTCAAATTTGCTTAGTTATCAATTAGAATTCACAAAACAAAAAAGATAATATTGAGACTCAAAATTACATGTATATATATATATATATGTATGTATGGGTTGCATTTGATAAAGGGATAATTCAATACTTGTCACTCAAATAATTATTAAATGCTCAATTTAGTACCTAAAAGTCTAAAGTATATTGTGTTAACCATATTATACATCTCTCTAACTTCATGAAGCTAAAGTATAACGTGTCCCTAATTTAACAAAAACAAAAATTGAGCACTTAATTACATATTTTTAAATTTAGATATTAAATTAAACATTTGATTATAATTTAGATATCAAATACATAACTCACCCTTTAGTAAATGATATTCGAGAACCAATTTAAATTGCGAGCACATAATTATTTATTCAATTAAAATAAAATATTGAAACTTCTTAAATTTATTTTGCTGCTAAAGCATACTCTACGAAGGAAATCTCTTTTGTTTTTAGTTGATAAATTTAGGTACCATTTCGTAGCCGACACTTTTTTTTTTTTTAAATTTTTAGAAATAAAAAAATGGATACATAACATAAATAAATAGTAATATTTTTGAAGGTATTATACGTAATATATGTGTTTTTTTAAATGATAAAATGCATGATTTTATTTTTATAGAATTAATTATACTATAATTGGCTTAATATGAGCACAAGTTTTCCATAAAAAGGGTGAGAATGTGGTCATGTCATCTAAATGAATCAACTTTCAAATGAGAGTAGTTTTGTTTCAATCATGGAGCCGAAAAGGGTATAAGAGAGAGAAAGAGATCCTTCTAATTTTGGGTTGGTTAGTTGGTAACCTAACTTGGACCCAAGTGATGAATAGTCGAGCCATGCATCAGCCCCAATTTAAATGGTCCTTAAAACATGGGTCCATACTGCAAATGCTTTCAATGACTAAAAAAAGTCTAATTTTCTTCATCGGTTCCTTGATTTGAGATCAATTTGCCTTTTATTGCCGCTACCAATTCCAACTACTCCTTCTATCTCTGTTTTTTTCTTTTTTTTTAATATTTCAAAATTATTTATCATTTTATTTTTTGAATATTTAAAATTTTTATTTTTTTATATTTTAAAATTATATTATATTATTTTTTGACACTAAAAATTTTGAAATTTTAAATTTATAAAAAAATTAAATTTTAATATTAAATATATTAAAATTAATTTTTTTAAAATTTTATAATTATCAATATATAATAAATATTTGAGACGAAAAGAATAAAACTGGCCCCGTAGGCTTGCAAGTTGTACCAGGCTTTGGCCTTCAAGTCTATCAAATCAAAACGGTAGTGTTCAAAATTTTGTCTTTTACCAGAGTCAACCAATCAAATTTATTTAATTCAATCAATTAATTAATTATTAAATTAATTTTAATTATTATTAAAAATAATTTTAAATAAATTTTAATTAATTTAATTTAAAATTTAAATTAATTAAAATTTTAATTAAAATATAATAAAATTTAAATATAAAACTCAAAATATATATTTATTTTGGAAATTATTAAAATTTTTAATTTAATATTTTAGTATTTATATATTCTGTTAAAAATTTTATTTAATTTTTTTACATATAAAAAGTTTAAAATTTAAAATATAATTTCATTTAAATATATTTTATTATTCAAGCAATAAAAAATTAAGTGAATCAATTTAATTAAATTTTATAAATTAATTTTTAAAATTAATACATTTAATTTAAATAATAAAAATAATTTAATTTAATTTAATTTAGTTAATTCGAGTAATTCAATTAGAAATTTATAACCGACAAACGACGATCAAAACCACTGACATGTATTTTCCAAAATCACGACATTTGGAGTAGTTCTCTGTTCTGCCCTCAGATCTTGTATTACATTCCTGAAGACAGCTAGTCTCCCCACGGCCATCCACCTCGGTAATCACCCATTCGTTTACATAATCTAAGACAGTTAAACAAGTCTGCCGCTGATTTTGTTTTCGTACTAAGAGTATATCCTAATCCTAGGCAACTTACTTGTTTTTCCTAATGATAATAAGTTACTGTGAGTTTGCAAACCATCTGTTTGATTTAATGCTTAAGAGAGGTTCTGTTTCTCCACTTTAAATTGAATCATAAAGGGTTTTTTTTAGGGTATTGAGAGGGTTTTGGGTATTTGCTATAATCTTGTTCGTTCTTTTGCTGATTAGAAGTTAAGCGGGTATCCAAAGGATTGTCTAAGCAACTGCACTTAGCATTGCTTTACTGTGGAGGTTTAAGAACGAAAAACAAAAGACAATGTTTCGCACCAAAAATGCTTGTTCTCGATTCTTAACCCATTTCAACCTCCTTAGAACAAGACCCTTCTGCAGCACTATCAAAGACTGCAAAAATAACAAGAACAACAACAAGGACAACGTTAATGGCAAGATTGAATCAAATGTGAGCACTTACAACGAGTCGTATCGTCAGCTAGAAAATCTCGACTTCATGACTGCTGCTAAGATCCTCTTCACTCATCCTCCTAAGAAAAAGAAATTTGGGTATTACTTTTATTTTCTCCAACGTTAGTTCTTCATTTTTAAATGGGTTTGACTTTTTTTTAACAATGGGTTTTGGGACTTTTTTGACTGATTCTTGGTTTGACTTGTCTTTGCCATTTCATCAAACATGCTTCCTTCTTTAGTGTTTGCCTTCTTTATTATGAGATTTGATGCTTAAAATGGTTACTTTCTGTTTTAGCATTGGTTGCTTAGTTGATTTAGTGGTAAAATATAAAAATCAAGAATGCTGCTAGAAAAGAATAGTTTTAAGTTCATGGTTATCAAAACTATTCATTATACAATTGAATGTGATGTGGAAATTTATAAGACGTACAAGTTCCTTAGCAAGCAGAATACATGATATTGTTTGCACCTTGTTGTTCTCCTCAATTCCACATTTAGTGTAAGATACTCTGGGTTTTTTTTTATAATTAAGAGGTTCAATGGGTTCGATTTGGTTTCCTTTATACCTTAATTGGTCTTCCATTCAATGCAAATTTTGCGCGATATAGTGTCTGAAATTTTTATCTGCTAGTCCTTGCATTACTGATGAAATTCTCAAACTCAGCATATTTTTAATCTGAGAGGATGGAATCTTTTAAAATCATTTTTATGAAGTGAAAGCATCTACTTATCTCATGATTGATACTTTAGTTAACTTCTTGGCATCTTTCTACAGTTGTTGGGGTTTAATTCTTACATATGTCTTAAATTTTCTTTCAGGATAGATTTCCATCTAGTACAGCTCTTCTTTGCCTGCATGCCTTCATTGGGTATCTCAACTAACAAGTTTGACGTCTGCCGATTTTATATGGAATGTCTCTTAGTTTGGTGCTGGTATCTAAAATAACATATATATATTTTTTGTAACAGCTGTGTACTTGGTAGCTCAATATGCTCGCTATGAAATGAGGAAAATGGAAGTGGTAACTAAAATTTTCTTGTTTTTTCTTATGCTTTCGGCTTTGAATAGGTTTTCATGACTATTTCATCCTTATTGTGTCTCCTGCCATCTGTGAACTCACTTTCTGAACACCTATGACTGTTTCATTCACCTTAGGAGCTAGAGGAGAAAAAGAAGCAAGAAGAAGAAGAAGCAAAAAGGAAACAAGAAGAAGATAAAAAGAAGCAAGAAGAAGAGGAGACAGCTAAACAGATGGAACAAATTGCAACTGATCCAGAGCTCTTGGAGGTAAAAGTGAGACTAGGTAAACTAGAGGAGGCAGTAAAGGAAATTGTTGTTGAATCAAAGAAACAATCAGCAGGCAGCATTAGTAAAAGTCAGCAAAATGCTAGTGAAACTGGTGAAGACAAAAGTAAATCATCCATGGAGCAAGACAAGGTTACTAAACAAAAATCCATTGAACAAACACCAAACGTTGATCGAGGAAAAGTAAGAACTGTGGCATCAGCTTCTGATGCTTCCCAAAAGGATCCAAAGGGTGAGAACGAGATTGGAGGACCTTCTCAAGATGCCAAAAGATGATCGAAGTGCCCTTCTGGTATGAGAACATATTTTCCATTGAATTGTTGCAAGATTTTTTTTTTTTTTTTCAAGCGAAGCATACAACTCCTGCACCAAGTCCATTTGCCCAAGGATATAATGGATGCTTGCCTCTCTGCAGTGGCATAGGTGATGAGGATAGGTTAAGGGATGTAGATGTGCATAAATTGCATCCTTATCTAACCACGAGAGAAGTTTTCCCTGCTTCTAATATGTAAGAAATATTTTATCACAGAGCTGTTCCGCTCATGATCAATGCCACTGTTTTGAAAGCTGAACTTGCAAAGCACATTGCTTATTTTATTCCAATTTCTTAGAGTTGGAATTATTCCATGAAGAAACTAAAACATATAGAGTAAAAGGTCAAAACCCAATATTGCAAAAAGCAAAAAAAAAATAATATACTGTAATTAATTTAATTATTGCAGGACATTGAGAGGGAAGACTCCTTACTTGCTTCAATTTTTCACCAAACCCTAGCGAAATGATAGCTCTACGTTTTTCATGTATCACTCAATCCAAAAGATTTTAAAAGTGTTTCTTAATTGAGAGGCAAAATCAAAGGTTGCTAGTTTTTTATTGGCAAAATAGCTAGGATAAAGCCACTCCAACGCAAGGAATTGACAGTCCATCTGATTTCTGCCACATGGCTTAAAATGGGAACTTTCACTCACTTTATCCAATCCCATGGTAATCTGAGATTTTCCATGAAAATTAAACTGTCTTAACAGTGAGATTTTCTGTTACTTTTCTACTTGATTTTGGTAAATCATGTTTTGTCGAATAATGATTAACATGATCTAGATTGTACCCATCAAATTGATCTGGACCCACTATTTATTGGACCCCAATTAAACAGATCACTTAGGTAAGAAATCAAGGCAAATAAGATTTTACCCATAATTTAATATTGGGAAATGATGTGATTTCATAGCTGAGGGTCACCATTTAGCCTTACTGTCACATGGCTACACCAGCCTATCTCTCAATTTTCTTTCTCTAACCCAAATATTTGATCCAAAGTCCATTCCCTCCAATAGAGATGGTCTATTTCTTCAACTGCAAGTGGGTCAAAAATGTTGTCATTTGAGACAATCACAACCATCCAATTTGTATACGCTTATAGTGGACCATATGTGTTACATATAATAACAATATTCTGAAATGACAACCAAAAGTAATCCCACACGAAATTTTTGTACTCAATGTTTTGGATCGTGTTCCCTAAACAATCAAACACTTGATGATATATTGCTTATTTCAATTAAGTATATCTTTAACTTTTTTCCTTCCTTTTTATTCCCTAATTTAATAATTTGCATTCATTACCGTGGTTAATTATAGTATTACTGTTAAAATTTGAATTCAAAGAATAGATATAAATTCGATCTATTTGAATGATATTAAATGATAAAAAATAAAAATTGAATATTAATCCTTCAGGAACCGGAGAAACTCAAAACCTAGTTCAAAATTCAAAAGCATATGTAGTGTGAAAAGCAGCCTTCAATGGCTAAAATTCTTTTTGACATAGTAGCCTTCAAAATGAATACTACCACGTATGTACGTCCTTGAATGTTAATATATTAACTTATTGACGAAGAATCGTCCACATTAAAAATACATTAAATCAAAGAAAACTCAATGACATGGATTTGGCTAAAATATATTAGAATGCGTAAAGCAACTTTTGAAGTTCACATTTTCACGTTTTTATAGAATTGGGAAAGTTTTTCCAACTTCAGAATTGCAAATAGCAAAATCTCTTGAAGATTTCCGTAACCAAAATGCATTTACAACAGGTCCAACTAAAAATCAAAGGAAAAAAGAAGAGGAAGAGTAAAACTAGACTACTTAGAGCTTCAAAGACAAGTCAAGCTTCAATTCATCTTGCTTAGTGTTGAAATGATTAACACTATCCCACCAATATCCAGCCATCCCCTCCGAGGCTGTACCAAACTTTCGTACATTACTTTCGAATCTTGCGGCACCATTACTTGCTGATGATCCAGCATTAATTCCCTTATGAGAATTCTCCATTGAAAGATGCCCGATTGCCGGTTTTTGGCCAATAGGCCGTCTAGACCATCCGCTATGCCCATAAATGTGTGCCGGTGGAACAAAAGATGGCTTGTTGATCATAGAGTGCACTTGAATTCCAAGTGATTTATGGAAAGAGCCATGCAAAGGAAGGGAAGCCATGCTAGAATATCGACTAGGATGTGTATTGGGGTGACCGAAAGCTGCAAAAGAGGCTGCACCAATCCGCTGCCCTCGTTTTGCTAGTGTTCTTTCTCGCTTGTGTGCATTTTGGTGCCCTCCTAGAGCCTGTGAGCTATAGAATTTTCTTTGGCAATAGTTACAGGAAAATACTCTAGGCTCAGCTTCATTACCTTGAGGAGTTTCCAAAGAATCTTGATCATCAGATGAATCAGTCTTGAAACAGTCGATGAGATTGAGTTCTGGCTTCAACTCTTGATTCGAATTCGAGTCATCTCTCTTGGAGAGGCTCAGATCCAATACAAGATGCTCATAGTTCACATCTCCTTGGTGCTCATGGTCTTCTTCTTCTGGTTGCTTTCCTTCTTTCTGGCTATCCATTGAGGTTCTCAAGCTTGCAGCTGGGCCATTTGATACTGAGATGATGCTTGAAGTTTCAGAGAGAGATGGCTCTGATTTTGGAGGCTCCATTTTTGTTTTGAGAATTTACTTCTCGTGGGGTTGATAGAAAGAGAGGTGAAATATTGATGTATATTGTAATAAATGCACTCAGCAATCCAAAGCTGAAATATATACAACAAGTACCACTGTTTTACAGTTACAGGGTCATAATATTGTAAGACTTGGAGAGAGATAGAAAGAGAAAGGAAAAGGGGGAGGTGGACATCATGTGTGTTTTGTCAAACATTTTGATTGAAACTTAAAAGAGGAACACCCATGTCCATGTACCTCTTTTTTCTTGCATATACCCCCATCAAGTATGTACCTTTCCTACTTTTTCTTCTCTTAGTTCCCACTCTTTGTCTCTTTTTACATTTCTTGTCTTTGAGATTTAGCCCTTTTTTTGGGGGTATATTCAAGGCTATAAACTTCTGACCAAAAAAATCCAAGATAAAAAGCAGCTACCTTCTACCACGGGCTGCTTTTGTGGGATTTCTTTAATGGAATGGACACATCCTAGAACACATGTGGTTTTCTAGAGTTTTTTGGCTACCTGATTTTCATCTTAAAAGATGCCCCAAACCCTTTCTTTTTCTGTCCTTTGGCTTCTCATTCATCATACTTTATCCATTCAAGGAACAATCTATGGACCAATTCATCTGATCAAATGCCATTAATAAGACTTACCTTACATTCATACACAAACACTACTCAATGTATTTACTCAGAGACTTTGGAACATTTAAGGCATTGAGCAAAATCTTTGACATGACTTTAAACTTTTTGTTAGGGAAGTTGGGAACAATAGCTTCATCTTTAAAATTCTTAATGATAATCAATCTCTCTTTTCCTCTCTCTCCGCTCATGTCAGGGCACAAAATACATTTTGATGAACCAGCTGTTGAATTAATATGTGTTGATTGAACTTGGGATATTTTTAACAAAAAATGGGTTCATATTTATAACCTTTACAGCTAATTGTCTTATGGTAAACAGTTACAATTGCTCAATAATGATACACCTAATGTACGAAAAAAAAGCACGCTTTTGTTATTCATTAATTAGATTAGTTATTAATTTACTAATATAAATATAATTAAGCAATATGGTCAAAGTTAATGCAGATTCGAATCCAACTAATGACAAATTTGACATAATATCAATAATAACAGCTATAATAATAAATATGTTTAAAAACCTAACCTGGTACTGATAATTGGAGCGATCTTTGACTTGAATGATTATCGTTTGGCTCATTTATATATATCCAATATTTTTGGGAATCAACTTGGATGATAATCGGGGCAGCTGATTTTGTTTAATATGTTTAAAAACCTAATATGGAATCAAACGATGTTTACTAACATACAAAGAAACCTAAGTAATTAGAATCTAATTAGTTGTTACAAAATTTAAACTCCCATTGATTCTTTAGACCACTACTAGGAAGAATTTTTCTTTAAGTTCTTTATCGTACTGAGGATTAAAAGAAAAGCAGGAAGTCATTATCATTTTTTTACATTTGACTCAAATTAATCACTAAAACAGCCAATCAATCTGTTGTAATTTAATAATAAATCATTCATACAATAAAAATAATTTATCGTGATTCAACACTTAATTCATTTGACATTTACAAATTCAGGGATTAAAGATATCCATAAACATGATCAGACCATCTGATTGATATCTTAAAATGCTTTTATAATGTTCGGCCTAGGTCACTCATAAAAGCTCATGTAGCCTATTTAACTGAAATTGAATATTAAAATAAATTTTTATATTGTTATTTTAATATTTTTACATATATTTTTGAATAAAACTTAAATTAAATCTAAGTATTTAATATTAAATTATGTTCACTAACCGAGCCAAACTCGAGCTCAAATGCTCTTATCTGTTCAGTCTTGACCAAGCAGCCGAAATGGTATGTCTGTCTCTCTCCCCTACAAGCTAGGACTGTAATAAACACACATACGAATATAAAAGCAGTTTGATTAATTAGATGAGATGTAGTTTGAATGTTTGAATTAAAAAAGTTAGGTAAGGTTGCAACAATACTTGAAAAGATGGACAAGAATGAAAGCTAATTTTCCTGCAATCCAATCACATCTATTATATAAACGCCAAGCAAATCTGTTAGAAGACTATATATCTAATCATCTATTCTATTCTATCTATAGTTCAACCATGGAAATCATATATCCATCCATCATTCACCAAGTTTATTATCTCCCACTTTCCTTTGATAATAATCATTTGACTAGTGATAGATATGTAAGAACTATATCTTTTATGTTTTATTACATTTGTTTATTCTTCTTCAGTTCTTTAACTTTTCCTATTGCTTTCCCTAATTTTTTTTTTTCTCTTTCGTGAGAAAGGAAAGTGACAAGAAAAGGGTAACTAGCTTGGGCATCACAAAATTAAATGGTAAATAAGCTAGAAGCTGAAATTTAGAAGAAAAACTTTGGGAATTCTACTAATCTTGACATATATAAATTTGATAATTTTAGATATATATGAAAATAATATAAAAAATTAAAACAGCACAATTTAAATTTTGATATAATCTTTATATAAATTTGATGAAAATAAAAATATATTTTATATTTAATATATCCATATAAATTATGATATAATAATTTTATTATATATATTTAATATAAAATAAACGATATATAAATACAAAAATTTTCAAATCTTTAATTAATCAAACCAAAGCCATCTAATTCTTAAGTAACTTTTTAACATATATAGATTTAAACCTAATGAGAAAAAGTGCTGAGTCACATCAGTAGTTTGGGATTTGGTTGAAGTGCAGTTAAGTTACTTCCTTTTCGATTGTTTTAGATGAAATAGCAACGTTAAATATATAATATTTTATTTATGGTTTTCAACATAATAAAAAATAAAAAGAGAGCACACCTTTTTCTTTCTCTAGGTCTCATCTCGTCTGCTGTTGCACACTGAATGGTAATAAATTAAAAACACTAACTTGTAACCAAAAAAAAATTATAAACCCTACTAGCTAGGGGTACGCTTTTACTGGAAAAACACTTCAAGTAGTAAACTTGAAGTAGAAGAAACTAACCCCCCTCAATTTAGAAAAATGTAAGAGGATTTCCTTAATATAGTTATTACCATCAATAGTGGGTTTAATCCTTTCCATCCCTTTTAAGTTTTAGATCGAATAATTTTTTATTAGAATTTAAAATTATCAGAATTTAAATTTTAATTATTAAAATTAAACATTTAAAACTTTATTGCATACTTCTTTGATATTATGTTTTATACATTGGTAGAATTTATTGCTTTTGACGGCTTTAATAACGGAGTAAATTTATATTAGATACATCATCAATATATATAAATATATCTTGTATATAATTTATATATTACTATTATTAAATGAGAAATTATTAAATATATTATCTGTAGAGCTTTTTAATTATACAGACAAGATTAATATAATAACATATAACTCTTAAGATAAATTTTAAAAAATTAATTAAAAAAATTTTATTAATAGTATATCAAATAATTTCTTTTATTGAATTATATTTGATTGACGACTATAAAATTTAAAAGTTTGAGAATTTATTAAAATAAATATCTCTCTCTCTATAGATATACACATAGGGATTCACTTAAAAGCTTGTAAGTTTTACACTTTTTAACTTTTAAATTAAAGTAATTTAGATTAAAAATATTATTTTAATTCAAATTAATTATAAATTTAATTTTAATCTAAAAATATAAAATATAAAATTTACATTAATATAAATAAATCGCTACTATATATATATTGTCAGAAACCGAACACATCTGCTGGTGATAGTATTGTCAATGTAGCAACATTTTTTTTTCTCCAACAAAATTACACTCCTTCCTCTTTATCTGGAATTGATGTCCCAATAAGAATCAATTCTAAGTTTATTGATAACCCGTGAGACTACATGGTAAAATTAAAGTTTAAATTGATAACTTGCCATGCGCTAAACTTTAATAAGAATATTCAAAGCAAATTAATATATATATATATATATTAGTACAAAATTAAAATATTTTTGTTTAAAAATTAGATTAAAAAAAATTCAGGACATTAGGCAGATATTCAAGAAGCAATTCTCCAGCTTTCATCCAATTGACAGCCCTGAATCTTATCTGAGACAGGAAAAGCTTTTAATTAAATAGTTTGTGTCCTATCATGTTACAATAAATTTCAGTAATTAAATAGTAACAAAAATATAAATTAATTCATCGTAGCTACTTCTTATCTGTATCCAATTTGATTAGTGCCCTTTGCTGTGTTGTAACTGTAGGTGCCATCACAAATGTCAAAAAAAAAAAAAAAAAATTCAAATTAGATTCTCCAAATCTTATAATTACATCTAATTTAATCATTGTTTCCGTACATGTGGACCAACGTCTTATTAAAGTATTGATGTCAATATATAAAAGCAAAATTAATATTCAAGTAAATTTATTGTGTGGGAATCTAGTTATCTAGTTATATTTTAATTAATTAATTAATTAATAATTATATTTTGATTATGATTAATTTTTTTATTTTAATTTATTTGAGTGATATTAATTTTCATGAAATTTAAGAAAAATTTTTTGATTTTAATAGATTTAATATTAAAATTAAATTTTTTTATAAAATTAAAATTTCATGATTTTTAATGTAAAAAATTATAAAATATAATTTTAAAATATAAATAAGAAAGAGTTTTAGATGTTCAAAAAAATATAATTTTAGAACATAAAAAAAGGATAAAAAAGAATAAAAAAACTAATGTTAGAGTTTCATTAATTAATCTTTAGCGACAAAAAGTTTCTTATATATAAAGTAATCTCTAGGTTACAATTAATTTGAATTTAATTAAGTACTTCAAGAAAAAAAAATTTGTTTCTAATGTTTTTTAATTAAATTTTTTTTATTTTACAAAATAAATATTCCATATTTTTAATGTCAAAAATTTTAAAAAGTGTAGTAAATATTTGAAATATAAAAAAGAATATTAATTGTTAAAAAATATGAATAAACAATGAAATGATTATATATATACATAAAACAGATAATATATATAATAATTAAAATTTTTCCTTAATTATAGTTAAACTATAATAGATCGAGTGAAATTTTTAAGAATAAGATATGCCTACCATTAAACAATTATTTATCTTTAATTTGTAGGTCAAGTTTGAATTTTGAAAAATGAGATATCATAAAATTTTAGAATGGAAGAGGGTTATATATACCTCTTGTTATATAGCTCAAGATTATATCAATACAAAAAAAAAAAAAAAAGCCCTGCTAAAATCGAAATATTCTTAAAATTATGAAAAAAGTACTTTCATTGCATCATCATTTTATGAAAACATGGTATAAATGTGTATCAAAAAGTACAATAGATAGCCTGTTTTTGAGACATACTAGAGAGCAGCATGCGGTTTGAGCATTTCATGGCTTATGGTGTCCGAGGTTATAATTATGTTGGGTTGGGAACATGGGATTTGGTTGTGTTGGATCATCCAACAAACAATATTTGATGATGATTACCTCCAAAATTAAG